TGGCTATTCGGGGTTTTTGGTGATTCCATATGAATTTCATCAATAATTGTTCTATTTCTTTGAAGAATGACATTGAAATTTTGATTGGAATAGCATTGAATCTGTATATTGCTTTTGGTAGGATGGCCATTTTAATAATGTTTATTCTTCCAATCCATGAGCAGGGGATGTCTCTCCATTTCTTTGTGTCTTCTTCTATTTCTTTTAACAGTGTTTTATAGTTTTCTTTGTATAGGTCCTTTACCTCTTTTGTTAGATTTATTCCCAAATATTTGATTTTTTTTGTTTCAATAACAAAAGGGATGGTCTTTTTGATTTCTTCTTCTTCAGATTTATTGTTTGTGTATAGGAAGGCTACTGACTTTTGCGTGTTGATTTTGTATCCTGCCACTTTACTGAACTGATTGATGAGTTGAATTAGCTTTTCTGTGGAGTTTTTGGGGTTCTCTATGTATAATATCATATCGTCTGCAAATAGTGATAGTTTGACTTCTTCTTTTCCTATTTGGATTCCTTGGATGTCTTTCTCTTGTCTTATTGCCCTGGCTAGGACTTCCAGTATTATATTGAAAAGCAATGGTGAGAGTGGACATCCTTGTCTTGTTCCAGATCTTAATGGAATTGCTTTCAGCTTTTCACCATTGAGAATGATACTGGCTGTTGGCTTGTCATAGATGGCCTTTATGATGTTGAGGTATGTTCCTTGTATCCCCAGAATTTCAAGGGCTTTTATCATGAATGGGTGTTGCACTTTGTCGAAAGCTTTCTCAGCATCTATTGATATTATCATATGTTTTTTATATTTCTTTTTGTTGATGTGTTGGATAACGTTGATTGATTTTCGGATGTTAAACCATCCTTGTGCCCCTGGAATGAATCCAACTTGGTCGTGGTGAATTATCTTATGGATACATTGTTGGATTCTGATAGCTAAAATTTTATTGAGGATTTTTGCATCGAGAAATATGCATTTAATGAAATAAAGTCAGACCAGGGTCAGTTGCCAAAGAAATTACAACTTTTATTTTCATGTAATATTTTCACTTGCTAAATGTATGTGTTCTTCAATTTTCACACTTTTAAAATTTGAGTTACAGATGTGGTAGTGTTTGAGGGAAAATATATATTTCTTGGCCCGTGTGTTTAGATTTGAAGTCAGGTGACGTGGTTTAGCAATGCTTGACAGGATTCAGTTACTAAACACTGAAGATGTTTGTACTGAAAGGACTATCTTCCTACTTCCACTAGACTAATCTTAAAGCAGTAATAACTAGCAAAGCCTACTCTCTAAAAGTGATTACTTTTATGATAAGGGCAGGAAAAGGATAAGAAAATGACTGTTCTGAAAAGAAAATTGCAATAAATCTCTTCATTAAATATGGTTATTCTTGCCTGTGCCTTAATTTTTTATTTTTGTGCAAGGACAAAAAGAACTCAGACTTTCCATCACTTAACTATCAGTGTTTGAGTTGAAAGAGTACTTGTGAACTAAAATTTTAGAATTCAGATAAATACTGATCAGTTAATCAGTAGGCTAAGCTCCCACCACCCATGCCAAAAAAAATAAATAAATAAAATTCACTTTGAATTTAATGGATTTTTTAAGTGAAAAGATAGCATTATTTAAACAATGAAAATGCTAATTTGGGGATCACATCTGGACCCCTTTTTAGTATATACCTTACTTAACGATGATGCTTTATTATTGTGCATCTCTAAAATATGAAAGTGCTTTAACTTAGTCATTAAATTGTTTCTGTATCCTTATAAAATGAGTATTATTTGAGCAGATTAAGTAAACAGCTTAGAAAGTTTAAGAGGCTAAGTTGTGACTTAATTGAGATGTTAGGAGTAGAAGACTGAAGGTCTCTCCACTTTTTCCTTAAGGCAACTCTTTTTTTTTTTCCATGTTTCACAAAAATAACAATTTTTAAAATTATATAAACCCACGACTTGTGGCCAGATTCTGATTGCAATCAACTCTAAAAGAAAATCCTCCTTTTTATAATCTGAATGTTAATAAAATTAGTAACAAGCATATGACTAAACTTGAAAATGACCACCTGTAAAAATGAAATCCAAACATCAGTGGTATAGAACACATATTGAATAAAAATTCCACTTATGTTTTTAAAAATAATGTTCACTATTTTCGTTTTGCTCCCACCTGTAACAACAAATTTCCTCCTTAAAAAATGCATTGCAACTGCACAAAATCAAATTAAACTACTTAGTTATTAAGTAGACCTTTATTGTACACTGGTTGAGGGAAGTGTACACTGAAGTGAGAGAGGCAATGTTGTGTAGTAAACATTAGCTTCATAAAGTCCCTAAAACACTTAATTAATGAAAACCAAACATGGATAAAACCAATTTACCCAGATTTACAGACTCCCTTCATCTGGAAACAGCTGCTTAATGTTCTTCTTAAAAACACAGCTTGCTTCTTTCAGTATTAACAAGCTATTATTGTGAGTTATGTCTTTCTTTCAGTATATAAATTCACTTAAAGCGAATGCAAAGAAGTTTATAAAATGCAAGCTTAATGTTGTTTTAACATATGCTACCAGGAATTTTTTGAACATTGACAGTTTTGATGAAAAACATCTCTCTTTGGCTCTCATAATTTTAACATCTTGCTTTTTTTGTTGTCTGGTTATATATTATGAGAACAACTGCTTTTCTAAAGAATATGCCTCTTGATACAAAAGACAAGCTGGCAGCATGCATCAAGATTCAAAGAGCATGAGCTTTGACGTCAGACTTGGCCTCACATTTCTTGACATAACCTCATAACAGTGTAGCACTAATTTCAAAATATCTTTGAGAGTTAGAAAGCAGTCAGGCAGGAGAAGGAAATTTTGCTTGTAGAGACTAATCTGGGAAATTGGAATTAATTATCTGTAGAAGCACACATGCTCATTCCCACAAATTTTATGGATTTCTCTAGCTTAGACATTCTTAACTCAGAAAATGTCTCTTTGTTTCACTGTATTTTTTTAGGGTGCTGTGTTTTGCAATTTTCCTCTTTCTCTTAAAATACAGAATAAAATAATCCTGGACCTCCCTGGTGGCGCAAGGGGCTAGGCACAGCACTGTGAAGCTATCCGCATCCTCTGCAGCACGAGTTCAATCCCCAGACAGCCAGGGAGCTGCCCACATGGCAGACCTCTCCTGTCTTGCCCACTGCTCCCCTCAGCAGTGTATTTCAGTCAGTCCGCCTTACTTTGTTCCCCACTCGGTCTCCAGTGAATCCTCTCACCCCCTACCCCCTGCATCTCTGGTCTGTACCCCAATTCTTGCATGCATAAATAAATAAATCTTAAAAATATTAAAAAAAATAAAATAATCCCACCGTCAGAGAAGAAATGTTAGAAGTTAATACATAAAAGAATACCTTTTGGTCTTAATGTGGCCAAAGTTTTTTGTTTTTTGTTTTTTGTTTTTATGTTTAAGAGCAGAAATGAAATAAATAATCATTTCTGTCATCACCTACTCCAATTCAGCTCTCTCCTTACCTTTCTGAAATGAGTTTCTTCCATCTCTTCTTCATTAAATTTTATACATTGGCAGAGAAATGCCTCCAGTTAAAGATTTCTTAAACTATAGCTATTAAGTTATGAAATATTAATTGGAGATGGTAATAGTTATATTGAAGTCAAGTTTTTCCAAAAAACGTGGTAAGGCATTAAATAATGTTTAAAATGATAAAAGCACTTCTCTCCCTGAAAATGAAATAACTTTAAACTCCAGTAAAAATTGTTTAATAAATCTTAAGAAGTGCATGTTTCATTTTTCAGTTTGCACATGTCTGCATTTGGTTTTAATCTAGTTATTATGAGTGAACAAAAACACTTTTAAATTTCTATTTGACATGGTGAGTTTTCAGACTTGAAATCTCCTATTATCAAAAATAACTGCTTATTCCCTATAACTTAAATGAATGAAAGGATCAAGAAAGTTGCTGGGCCTCCCCTGGTGGCTCAGCGGTTGAGCGCTGGGCTGCGAGGCTGCCCGCAGCCTCTGCAGCGCCGGTTCATTCCCCGGCTGCCGACGAGGGTTTCAAAAAAAAAAAAAAAGAAAGAAAGAAAGGAAGTTGCTATATCATGCCAAGAGTGGGACCACTAACAGGGTCAGAAGTTGGTAATTAATAGAAGTCTTCCATTTAATATTTGTTAATGAGTGTGAACTTTTTATATTCATTTTAAAACAGATGCCCCCTCTGCACTTTAATTCTCTATATTATGCCATCTTCCATGACAGGGATTTTATACCTGCCATTCCTACTCTTTTTCCACTGGCTGAAACCTACACTTGCAGATCTCAGCATTTGTTCTTTCTAGACTCTGAGTTTCCACTCTAGGCTTTCTAGCTCCCTGTGCATCTCATCATCACATTTGTTTGTATTTACTTGTTATGAATGTAAACTGGCCACCATTTGAGTGATTGTTAACACCCATTCTCCACCTAGACCCCAACCATCACGAGGGCAAGAACTGACTCTATTGTCATCTCCATGTACTCTTTAGATCTTAGTATAATTCCTGGCCTACTAGTAGGAACTCAAAAAAATATATATATTTTGACTGAATGAAGCTATTAATAAATGGACAAGGAATGAGAATGGAATTTCTCTACAAATAGCACACTATGTGCAAAACCACAAAAAAAAGTGAATTATAGTTGAATGCAGGGAAAACAAAGCAAATATATCAGAAATGAAGCTAGACAAATGTCAGGTCTACATCACGACAGACCTAAGGTATTTTAACCAGGAGAGAAAGCTGATCTATAATTAATTTTGTAAATAATAATTTAGAATTATTGTCAACTTAGAAATGGAAGAGGATATTAGAAACAGGTAGATGAATTAGGGTGCTATTGCATTGCTCAGATGATAATTAATGAGATGGACATAAGGAAAAGTGAAATGAGAATAAATGTATTGTACTGTCTAAAATACTTCCATTTGGTTTCAAGTGCTATCTTCTGTTCTTCAGGTTGATCGCCAGCCCCAATTCATCCAGGGTTACCGAGTGATGTACCGTCAGACTTCAGGCCTACAGGCTTCATCTACATGGCAGAATTTAGATGCCAAGGTCCCAACTGAACGAAGTGCTGTCTTGGTCAATCTGAAAAAGGGGGTGACTTATGAAATTAAGGTTCGGCCATATTTTAATGAATTCCAAGGAATGGATAGTGAATCTAAATCAGTCCGTACTACTGAAGAAGGTCAGTATTCAGGTTGCTGGCATAAAGGAAACTGATACCATGTAATACCCATTTCTGTTGATGTTCTTGTTTCTCAGCTTCCTTAGAAACATAACAAGAGAGAATCTAAAAGCGAATCCAGGAGAAGTCATTTTATCCTGAGGATTCCATAGGGTTGGACCATTAAAAATATGACATTAATAATTTGAACTTAATTAAATAAATATTTGCCCTAAATCTTGTTTGATAGTACACTGAAATTTGGTTAAATTTTCCTACAATTCATATGTGGCTCTAGCTCCTTTGGCTTTGTTACAGGACAGGCTACTGGGAATCCAAGGCCATGGGGTATTCATTGTCACACCTCTTTTTTTTTTAATTAGAAAAACATGGCAGTCTTTTATAAGCCTCCTTCCCAGTGGGTTCTTCCAGTTTGACTCAAATTTGTAATTCAGAAGGCCTCTTACACCTTGATAACAGCATTTTTATTAGTGACGTCCTTTCCGTCTTCCCCTTGAGAACTTTTCTTGCCTACAGATGCTTTAGAGTCAATGTCTGATGGACACGAAATTATTGTTGGTCTCAACCAGCTCATTTACTCACTTCTCTTTCACTAAACTGGAGACTTACAACAAATGGTACTGCAAAGTGAAAAAAGTCAAATGCCAAATAAATAAATCCCCCCTTTTCTGCTTTCATACTAAGTTAACGTGCATGGCTCCCATAAAATCTAGTTTCTTAAACAAGTTTTATATAGATCGTCATAAGAGGAGCTTTAAGGAAAACGTGTTTGTGAATATATATATATATGTATTTATATATATATAAATACACCCACACATGCACGCGCGCATACACACACATCATCCTAGTATATAGATGTTCATGTGTGACCAAAACAATATTTGAAGTATGCTAATAATAAACAAAATAGCAAAAATGTTATCTTCTCATTGACTTCTATTTTGAGATACAATGACCTGGGCAAAAGTGCGTATTTTTAAATTCATCATTAATCTTAGGATTTGTGAAGAAACAGACAAAAAAAAGTGTTAAAGTTAATAATAGTATCTGTATCCACTGTTGGATTTCACTTTATGTTACAGATCTCTGTTACTGGTGAGTGGGGTAGGTAAATTTAATATAAAATGCTATGTGTGGAGCATACTTTCAAAAATCAATTTCACTGCAGTTAGACTTCTCCTTTGGATTAGACATTTGTCACCATTCACTTTACATTCATCTCCAGTTTCTGTGGACTTCTGAAGGTAACAAATGGAACTCAGTTGGGCTATGTCTGGGAGTGATGAGCAGTGATTTGGGTTCTTTCATATCTGTAGAAAGAAGCTGAGCACTGTAGTAATTGACCTGTCAGGAAGCAGGCATGGTGTTCTCTCCAAGCCAGAAGCAAGGCAAATGAGAAACCAGTTTTCAAAAGGGTTATTTTTCAATGTAGTCTACTTAATAACTACAAAACTGGTAGACAAGTGCCTGCATCTATGTCACCAAGCCATATTTTGGAGCAGTTATTCTCTCCTAAAGAAATAGTCTTACATAAAGAGCATGCATGGTCATCTGTCTGTGCATCCTGTCTCTCCATGCAAAGAGATCCACACCTCAGTGAAGTGACTATCTTGACAAATTTACCAAACACAACAGAATTCACTGGGTCTTTAAAGATATCTTTCATGATTCTGTTGTATGTATGTAAAACTATAAAAATACTGACCTCTTAATATAAAAATCTTTTTTATAACACACAATTATTTGAATGTTGTTTTAAACCATTAGTACTTTGATTTTGCCTTTTCTCTCTTTGGTTTGTACTTTGAGATTGATTGACAATTGAAAATTTGTTGGCAAAAGTAGTATTTCTTAGTTGTCACATAATCTGCATGGGAGATGTTGCATTTAAAATCAGAAATTTCTTCTCACTCATCCTTTCTCAGTTATAGAAGAAAGCATAAAAAGGAAAGTTGATATAGAGAATTAAAATCTGTCCAGTACACACTTGACCTATCTTGGACTGTTATGATTTATGTCATTAGAGTTCCTTGCCCACCAATTAAAATAAGTTTTGCATCTTAAATTATAGATTAACATATAGTAGCTGTTTTCCCAATTTGAAAACAGAAGGATTTTTTTCAGTGTTGGTAAAATTTATTAAATGTAAACTCAAAACAAGAAGACTGTCAATAATCTTGTCAGTCCTCACCACTCAGAAATGAAATTTTGATTGGCAACATTATGGAATATCCTCTCAGAATATTTTGATAAGATTGCTGTTTTTTATTTTCCAGGAAGAGACATTTAGAGTCAAAAAGAGCCATAGTTCTAAAATCATGCACATACCTGGCTTCAAATTTGGACTAACTCTTTGACATCCATAACTGTCTTCAAGTCAGCTTCTGTTTCCTCATTTGCAAAGCTGAGATAAAGAGTTGTGTCTACATCCTGAGAATTAAATCCATTGTGTCTCAGTACTGAGAATATAGAAACACTCATTAGAATGTTAGCTGTTAAATTTATTATTGACCACATATTACCATAGCTGTTGTATTTACTTCAAGTTTATCGATATATTTAAAGGACATATTTTAAAAAACTGTCACTGTTGAATTCCATATGCAAATTCAGAACTACTGGAAACCAGAATTGCATGCATCCTGCATTTATAGTCATATTCTGTAAGCAGCATTAATGCATACCAGGACTTACAGTTTATGTTTATTCTAATTACTTCCTCTACAGCTCCAAGTGCCCCTCCACAATCTGTCACTGTGCTGACGGTTGGAAGCCACAATAGCACAAGTATTAGCGTTTCCTGGGATCCTCCTCCTCCAGATCATCAGAATGGAATTATCCAAGAATATAAGGTAGGGCCCGGGTGAAGGAGGTCACAGATAAAGCTTCCTGGAGAAATCTGTCACATGGAGGTGTCCTGTCTCGAGTGGTGCTCTTACTGAGTTTGAGTGTAAAGTGATTATTTATACCTTTCTGGGACAGGTAATGAAAACAATGCATGGGGGATTAGAAACTAACTCTAAGGTCACAGAAACACAACTCAGTTAGACAAAGAGACCATAACAGTGGAGTGGTTTTCTATATAGTGAGATTCCAGAAACACAGGGACTCAGAGATATGGGCTACAGGGTAGGTGGTGAATCCCTCATCACCAAAACTGCTTTTATGTTTATTATTAGATCTCTGTAGGACAGACCTTAGGGCAGCCATTTTTTAAACTGTGTTATTAGAAAAAGTTGCTTCAGGGGTTTGGAGAGATGGGGTAAGTGTAAGAGAGTGGGCAACTCCAGCTGCCACACTAAGTTCTGCTTTTAGCATTTTATGAAGTTTTATAAATTGCTTCACTTGGAAAAGGGGAACCATTCATAAAACAAATTTTGAAAAAATTAGCTTAGTAGATAGATGATTATCTTTTTTATTGTTATTTGGTTGCTATTTTGAAAGAATATATTTACACTGTTTGAGTCATTTTTTGATATTTCAGAGATAAGATGTCTGACTTTGAAATATAAGATTCTAGCTAATTGTAATATGAGTAGACCATACTGTGAGTGTAAAACACCTCATGAAACCTTGCAAAATTTATAATCTTCTGATACTAATTTGATTCTGAAATTCTGACAATAACACACTAGATAGATAAATTAGGATAGATAACTAGACATACCACCTCACCCCAGAAATTCATAGTCTGTATGTGATAATAAGCTGAATAATTTCACTCAAAAGTATTTTAGATTGAATTATATCTAAGAAAAAATAACTTTTAAATAGAATTGTATGTTAATGGCTAATTTACTAAAGCAAAAGGACAAAATCTGCATTACCATTTACTTTAAAATTATCCCTATTACATTATAGAGAAATGCACTTAAGAAATATAAGTGGTTTTACAATAGCATGCATAGTCACACAGAGTCTAAAATTTTACAAGTATTCATGCTCACTATTCCAAAAGCAAAGAGTTATCTTTGTGAGTGTGTTTTCATGAGGTTGGGATTTTATCTTTGTGTTACCCAAGTGTAAATATCCTGAACTTCCATTTACTTAATATTGATTTTTTTAACTTATCTTTTTTCATAAGTTGTAAACTTTATCAGTTATGCGAGGTTGTCATGTTTTGGCAACAAAATATATATTTGGTGAGGACCAAGTACTCCTCCATTAGTAACACAAGTATTATAGTGAATTTAAAAAAATCTTAGCACATGTAAGATACATTTTAAAGAAAAAGTATCCTGGATTTACCTGATTCAGAAACAAATCCCATGTGTCCCTCCTAATGCATCCATATACAGAGTATTAAAATACCATGTAATATGAATATAAATATGTATACACAATAGAATTCTTTTAGAACATTTTACAGTAAGTTTTCCATATCCCAGAAGAAAGTGTGTCCTAAAATTTGATATCTACTTGAAATAAAATATCTTTTCTTCACATCACTATTTAAAAACTTTCCATTACTTTGTTTAGGCATGTGAGTGTGTATAACTATGCTTTGATCAATATTAAGATTTATTGCTGTCAATGTAAATACTGGCTTTAATTTCATCTCAGTCAATACCAATAACTTAGGTCAATTAATCTTATTAAGTACTTCTGAGTAAGTTAATATTTTCTTAAATGAAATATAAATTACATAGATGTGCAACTATATATGTTAGGTATTTCACCTCTTAGTCATATTTTAATAGATTATAATAAATCTTGATAAATAAATTAAGCAGAATAATTTATGTATTTTCATCTCTATCCAAATGCTGTTTGCAAGTAAGGATCACTTTGCAGGGATATTTAGGGTATCATTGTTCCTCTAAATGATTCATGAACATTCAGTGTTGATAATAAGATTTACAAGAACAGGGTGTAGTTTTAGTTTCCCTCCTTTTTCCCTTTACAAATACATGTGCACACACGCCACACACACACACAAACACACATCCACATATAAAAACTGCAGAAATTTGGCTTTAGAAAATGAATTTACGGCCTCCCTGGTGGCGCAGCCTCTGCAGCGCCGTTTCGATCCCGGCCAGCCGGCAAGGGTCCCACAAGGTGCGGCAGAGCTCTCCTGTCTCGCCTGCTGCTCCCCTCAGCAGTGTATTTCAGTCAGTCCGCCCGTTCTGTTCCCCGATCTCTGGTGAATCCTCTCACCCTCCCGCACATCTGGCCTGTACCCCCGCTCTTGTATAAGTAAAATAAATCTTTGGAAAAAAAAAGAAAATGAATTTACAGATGCTTCCAATCTTAAAAAATAGATTGGTCACTATTTAAAAAACATAATCAATTATAATGGTCTAATTACCAGCCAGGATAATTGTATGTATCTTTGTTCTTCACTTTACATTTCTGTAGATCTGGTGTCTGGGAAATGAAACACGTTTCCATATCAACAAAACTGTGGATGCAGCTATCCGATCTGTAATAATTGGTGGATTATTCCCAGGTATTCAATACCGGGTAGAGGTTGCAGCTAGTACCAGTGCAGGGGTTGGAGTAAAAAGTGAACCGCAGCCAATAATAATTGGTGAGTACCTATCTGTGTGGTCTGTGCTTTAGAATCAGTCAGCTGATGACAATGTAGATTTCTTTTTAAATCTGCACCCTAATAGTGGATATGTACTATCCACTTGTTGAAAGATGTACTGATTGGATAGAGTGCACACATCATATGGCCTAAAGGATTAGCTTACTAGAGCTGATCATAAAAATAATTAGCAATTGCTTTTACTCTTAAAAGTTCCATAAACTTCTTAAAGTTGTAATCACCAAGAGTTTAAATGCTGAAAGTTGGTTTCAAAATTACCTTTTTTTTTTTTTTTTTTTTTTTTTTTTTTAAAAAGAAAAAGTTTATTGAGGAGAAAAAGAACAGAAATAAAGTGGGACTCCCAGGCCAGGGAACCAGGCCTGGGAGGGGCAAGGAAGCCTCAAAATTACCTTTTAATCAATGGCTTCATTAACAATGTTGGTGACACTGAAATACAATAGAAAATGAGACCAGGAAAGTGCATTTTATTTCAAATCTATGTGCTTCCTCTTAGCTCAGAAAAATTATCAAAAATTAACCAGTCACACTAAAAGAAATGTTGTGTTTAATAATCCCAAGAAGATAACCCCATTAAATATACTATCATCATTACAGATAATTGTTCCCTATCATCATGAATTATATTTGCCTGTTTTTGAAATATATATAAATTGACTCTCACATAATATCATTTTTGCCTCTGATTTCTTTCATAATGCATAATGTTTTTTTGAGATTCAGCCATGTGTCTTGCATGTGTTACATTGTTTTATGTTTTGTTTCTTGAAAGTACACAATTGTTGATTGTACTATAGTTTTGTCTTTTCCTTTCTCTTGAGACAACCAACATTCTTGTGTAATATATATATATATATTTTTTTTTTTTGAGGGGGAAATACACAGAATTCAATTTTTGAATAGTGGGATTTATGCAGTTTAACTTTATGGAAAACCGCTAAACATGTTTTCTAATTGTTGCATGACTTTATATACTCTCACTGGTAAGAATATATATTGCTGGGGCCTCCCTGGTGTTGCAAGGGGTTAAGCAGCACACTATGAAGCAGTCCACAGCCTCTGCAGCACGAGCTCAATCCCCATCAAGCCAGGGAGCAACCCACATGGCGCAGCAGACCTCTCCTGTCTCGCCTGCTTCTCCCCCTGCAGTGTATTTCAGTAGATCTGCCTGTTTTGTTCCCCGCTCTGCCTGTGGTGGATCCTCTCACTCCCCGCATTTTTAAATAGTGTTGCTGATTGAGAGGATTTATATACACAAGTCTGGATACAAGTTCTTTGTCATGTGCTTGTATTACAAATATTTTCTCCTATTCTATGCCTTCCTGATTCATTTTCTTGTGTCTTTTAATGATCAACAATTTTAAAGTTTAGTGAAGTACAATTTATCAGATTTTTTCTTTCATGTTAGTACTTTCTAAAAATATCATGCCCTACCTCTAGAGAATATTCTTTTATATTTCCTCCTACTAGTTTTATAATTTTAGCTTTTCTACTTAGGTCTATAATTTTAAAATAATTGCATATGGTTGAAGATTGAGATTTATTTCCATATGTATATGAAATTGGTCTTAGTGAATGTTCCCTGTACATTTGAAAAGTATGTGCTTTTTTCTGTTTTAGAGTAGATTGTTCTATAAATGTATGGTCAAATTAGTTGGTAGTTTTGTTCAGTCCTTAGTGATTTTCTGTGTATTTTTTCTTTTCAGTTGAAGAGTCTGGAAATTCATTATAATATAGATCTGTGTATTTCTCCCTTTGCCTATGCATTTTTGCTTCACATATATTATAGCTCTGTTTTAAATGCATATGTTTAACATTGTTATATCTTCTTAATGAACTTATTCTTCATCATTGTGAAAGGTCCCATTTTATTTTCCATTAAGAGTCTTTGTCCTGAAATTTATTTTAATATTAGTGTAGCCATATCGTCTTAAAATGTTTATACAGTTTGTGCTTTATCCTCATATTATTTTACTCCTGTCTCTCTATATTTAATGCAAATTTCTAATATTGTTATCACATATTGTTAGATCTTCCTTTTTTATCCAGTATGACAATCTTTGTCTTTTAATTGGAATGTTTAGACTAATCTTTTTAATATAATGACTGATGTGTTTGGACTTAGAATTACCATCTCTCTCCTTATTTCATATCTCATTTTGTTCCTAAATTCTAATTTCCTGCTTTCTTTGGATAAATTGAATACATTTCTTTGTTATATTTTGTCCACTATTGCATGATTAGGCATACCTCTTTTGTGTGATACTTAACTCAAAGATACATAATTCCACTTTCTTTCAATATTTTTGCTATGGCTGCATACTTTGTTTCTATATATGTAATAAATACTAATATATAAACTAAATTATTGATTTTGTTGTAAATAATCAGCTATCTTGCAAATAGATTATAATTTATCCATATCAGACACTCTGTTCCATTTGTTCACTTGTCTCCCTGAGTCCCTCTATCTCTTTAACTCGGGAATGCTGAGCAGCCATATTTGAGGCTCCTTTTAATAGGTTGTATTTCAGAAATTGTTTCTAGAGTAAAAACTGTCAAACAAGTAAGATTCCTCTTGTTTATTTTCCTTTTTTCAATCCTTCCCTTTGGTCTCACATATTTTGTCTTGTTTTCTATTTATTTATAGTGGGACTGCATGCCCCATATCTGCTATTTCTTCATGGACAGAAAGTATTCTATGAATTATTCATGTCCATGATATCACTTTATGTTCTAGAACTTCTATTTGTTTCCCTTTACATTTTCCATTTCTCTCTGAAATTCCCCATATGTTTATTCATTTTCATTTTGCTTTATGTCCATGAACATGTTATAATAATTGTTTTAAAGTCCTGCTTTCGCTTTATTTCAACATTGTGTTATCTCATGTCTATTTCCATTAGTTACATTTTCTCTTGTTCTTGGGTTATATCTTCATAATTTGTTGTGGCTGTTGCTTGTTACTTCTTTTTGCATGTCTAGTATTTTTTTTATACTATATACTAGATATTGTAGATGACATAAGCTTTTGTGATTTTTCTGAAGAGTGTTGATTTTTGTTTTAGAGGCATTTCCTTTACTAACTATCATGAACTTGTGGTGGCTCTGTCTTTACATTTTGCTAGCATGGGACTGTGTTTTGACCTTATTGTAGAGATAAGCTTCTTTTTCATCTTTATTTCTAAGTCATGCCTCCTTCCTGGGGTTTCAATGAAAAGCCTAATATGTTTATTAGGCCCTATTAACTTGATGAAACTCAAACTTCAAATGCAAAGTTTTTTTACTGGGAATTTATCAATTTTCAATTGATAAGTCTGTTCAACCTTTTCAGCCTTCCAGCTTTTGGATTTTAACAGATCATTGAAATCTTCTTCATGAATGCAGTTTAAGGTTGAGATGACCAATCACCAATAACTCCCTCTTTCAAGTGGTTATCCCTATAATTCTCAGTTACTCTGCTCCTCTGAACTCTGTCCTTTGACATATCAAACCAAGAAGATTGAGATTTTCAGCTTGGGTTCCAACTGCTTAAACACTGCATAGTCTGAGATTACTAAAAGAAAAACAAAGCTTCAAAAATGCCAATTACTTCTCCCGGTGTGGTTCCTGTCTATCAAAATCAAATCCCTTCAGTTTTTCCTGCTTTTGCTTGCTTGTCAGTGTCTTTATTTTTTAAATATTCTTCTTGAAGCTTACACATTTTAAAAATAGATTCATAGCTTGATAACAAGTGAATGTTCCATTCCCATTATTTTCTGTTTATTTTCTGAAATGATGCATATATACTATACTTCCTACTTTTGGGAAATTATATATCACATAGTATTTATTGTTCATGAAGAGATATAACAGTCATAATGTTAAAAATTTTAGATTCTTTGAGTTTTTCTTTTATATATTAAATGCATTAAAGAGAAAAAGTTATAGTATTAACTTTTCTTTAAATTGTCTTCCCTTTCTTAATTAGTCATTGAGACTGAATTAATTTCTTAACCTGAGGGAAACCTACAATCTTTCCCTTCTGAGATTTTCTAAAATAAATTGGAATAAGAAAGAAATACAGGTACACCCAAAAGGATTTAACTGACATACACACACACACATTCACACACATATGTATGTGTATATATGTATATATATATATTCCATTTATAGTATTTAGAAATAAGCCATTAATTTTTCACTTAAACAACTGTATATGAAAATGTTTAAAATATATATTTTTATGAAAGCTCCTAGATAAGTAAACACAGCTGTTTTATATTTTTAGTGTCTCTCTAGCATATATATCAATATGAAATAGATCCACTTATAATTTCTCTAACTCAAAAATAAGTAAGATTGACAAATATTTATATTTTCCTTTCATGTTTTCTTTGCTATGATATTTAGTAATAAAAATAATTCTCAAGCAAGGGACTTTTTTTTTTAATTATGGCTATATATTTCACAATGTTTGAGGAATTTATTGCATTTGGAAGTGAGTAAAATGCTTCAATACCATTTAACCAGTTTCCTGTCATGATAGTTAAGAACTGAAAAATTGTATGCTAATTTATAATAATAAAGTTAATTTAGATTATTTTAAATAAAATGGAAATGGAAATTTTTGCTGAACACTTGTCATTTTAAAAAGATGTGGGGTCTTTAAATAGATTAAGAATACTTTTTAATTTATTATATAGTGCATCATACAAGTTTTTAACTTTTTTCTATGAAGTGAAAAATAATCTAATAAAATATTTTCCTATCTCTATTCCCAGACTTCAGAACATGCACTGTTCAAGGTGTAATCATGGAAAGTAGAATTGTGCCACTTGAATTAAACACACACATACACACAATTGTGAGTGCACAATGCAACCAGGAAATAGCAATTTGTCCTGAAGAGATTTATTTCTTTTTAATATCTACTGTTGTAGCGAAGAAGCCTTTAATTGTTGCTTTAATTACCCCTACATATCTACCTTAACATCTTGTCTGATAACCTTATCTACACAACTGTTATTCCTTAGTTGAAAAGTGATTTAGTGATGGCTAATCTCCTTTTCTGCTTCAATTTATGTTTTCCCTATTGTCTAGTCAGTTCTGGAAATAGCATTTGCAATGACTCAAGGTCTACCTCATTTCCCCTTTGCTTTAATTAAATCATGTATTGACATTTGACGTAATTTATGGCTGATAATTTTAGATTTGTCTTATGCCAGCCAATGTACTCTTCTATCTATACCTTTACAGTTTAGTTTTCATTCCAGAAAATTCCACATAGGGATCATTAATTTAAGTATTCTATAAATATAGTATATGGCCTCACACAGGCTTTAAAGTCATATTGTTTTTTTCCTCTGCAATTTCTGCTGGTAAGGTGGATTTTTACACCAAAGTCTCATAATGTTATTGCACTTACAGGTACAAAAATGCAACAACATACATCTATAATATAAGCATTTATTAGGAAGTCCTATAACAAACTTACAATGACTTACAATTTTCAACAATCTTGTATAATCTTATAACTGTTGTTTTTCTAATCACTTAGCCATTTCACTCTTACCTTTTATAGTTGGTAATAATATATGGAACAGCTGCAAACTTTCACAGTAATAGGTACAATCGAATCTGATGTGTCTAATTAATTTTTAGTCCAACAAATTAGTTTTGTTCTTCATTACTCTCCAATGGGAGGAAGACATTATATTTCATTATATTTTTTTGTCTGCAAGAACAATGGAGCGTTGCAGGTCACACACAGCCCTTGTCTGTGCTCTAATTAGTCCAACTGACAACACTGTTTCAAAAATAGCAGCAGCAATAAGAAATAGCAATACATTTTGGGTAACATAAATATTGTGCTGTATTAAATATGACACTTTGCCAACCTTTTATATAAATGAAGGAAAATTTGACTTTTTGTTTTCTTTTTCATAAATACTATTAGTTAGAAAAATCATCAGATATATGTATGTTTTATATTAAAAATCCAAATTCATCTTCATGCCTTCTTTAAATTTTTATATGCATAATAATTAATGACAGTTTGGGGAAATGAATTAGATTTATTGTATAAGTAAAGTTAATTATTAAATCTAGAATTTAATACAAAGGATACTTTGGAAATAGAATATAAATGTGTATAAGAAAATGCTAGCAGCTATAACAAAAAAGTCTGCATTCTGATTTCCTTAATAGCACAATGTTTTCTTTTATATTCTCAGTTTAGTCTAATGAGTTAGGAGAATAAAGGATAGGGTGTCTGTTCTATACCACTATTCAGGGAACTTCAATCTTTGCAAGCAATGACTCTTCTATTTCTTAGAAACTCCACGTTCTCCAACAGCCTTTGTTTCTCTCCCAACACATTAGGAAAGAAAGTATATCAAGCATTTTCACAGCAGTTCATGAGTAAGGTCTACAGGCAGCATAATCACTTGTGCTTACAAATTGTTGGCCAATAATTTTGTTGCACTAAACTACAAGGGAGGCTGGGAAATAAAAACTAATTTCCTACACTGGCAGAAAGGGAACACTGGTAAATTTGTCACCTGTGGTTTGTAAGACTTTTGAATCTAGATGATTCACCACTTCCTGAAGAAACTTGAGTGTCTCTAAGTAAATCTTAGACTTAGTCTTTTATGAGTTATATTTTGGAATCACAAATAACCATGTTCTGTTAACCTTGGGTGCGCGCAAACACACACACACACACACACACACACACTAGTAGTCTTAATGCCCTCTAGAGAATTAATGGATATTTGATCAAAATAAGGTATTTGGTAGAATATTCAAGACAGTATTAACGTTTTTTATGAATCATAAACATTTGAATTTTGGCAATGCTATAAAGGAAAGACATTATTTGCAAATACCCTGTGATAAATGTTGCAGCTGCTTTCTTTTTTCTTCACAAAACTACATTAAAACTTGTTTTACTGAATTGAAGAAAAGTTTAAACCCTTAGCAATTGTTTTACTATTTATTTATAAGTAGTTCTTGTTATCCACAAACCAAAACATAAAGGAACAATATTCTTAATCACATTTTGAACTCATAATTTGATTATTTTTCTGAAGCATAAAATATGCTTATCAACGATTGTGATAGGCTCAGGACACAAATATCACTTGCCTCTGAAGAAATTTTCTCATGCCCATGTACATATTTGCCGTGCTTATTTTTGTATTAATTTTAGTAACACTATTATTTCTTCCATAGGGGGGCGTAATGAAGTTGTCATTACTGAAAACAATAACAGCATAACTGAACAAATCACTGATGTTGTGAAGCAACCAGCCTTTATAGCTGGTATTGGTGGCGCCTGTTGGGTAATTTTGATGGGTTTTAGCATCTGGTTGTATTGGCGGAGAAAGAAGAGAAAGGGACTCAGTAATTATGCTGGTAAGAGAATATTTCCATCTAAGAGAATGCTTATCTTTAGGAATGTAATGAAATGAAAGAATGAGAAAGGCATAGAATGAAATAGTGAGTGAGTGAATAAATGAATGTTTTTGGTTAGTTTTAAAGACCTGCTTTATAAAATGCAGTTATAAACAACATGTTTTAATGTATTGTGCTTCACCATATGACATTATGTCCATAAAGCGTATTTATCTCTAGTAAAACATGGCAAGAGTACACACTGATAAAATACCTCACTATTTTTGTCCACACAGAGACTTTGCATTCAGAAGTGGTTATTTAGGTAACAGCTTTACCAGAGTGCTCAGGATCAAAGGGTATATTTTAAATATATATACCTGAATTTTAAGGAAATATCCCACAGGGAAGATACAAACACAAAACTTCACCAGAATTAATAACACCAATGAGGCACAAATTAAGTAATATAATATTAACAGACATAGGGTATTTATTTCAAGGTGACTACTGGGCATTTTAGAAGAAAGAAAAAAAGATAAAGAAAAGGAGAAGGAAAGGGGGAAAAAAAAAAAACAGGACTCAAGATGGCCTAGCTGTTTGCCATCCAAACTTTTCTTGGAATCCAAAACAGTTTCCAGGATGTTGAGGAGTAAAGAGGAGAACAGAGAGCCAAGAAAACAGGAGAGAAGAAAAGGAGAGAAAAGATTATCAAGCCATTGATAGAAAGAATGAACTTAATATTGAAACTATCTTCAATGACAATTTTAATTGCAATTCATTCTGAGTATTTTCTCTAGGAACAACAATCATTAAAAGAAGTTGTCTCATAGTAGTTCACATTCTAGAATTTACAAGGGAACACAATTTACCAATTATCCTACAAGCTCTTTAGAGATTACAAGACATTTAATCAGTCTTCGATTTCTAATTTTAACTTTTTTAAGATGCATACATGTCTTTATTACTGATTTTGACTGAAGTTTTATTATTTATTAAGCTTAACAGCCCTGTAGCTTGTAAGCTTCTAAGCTGCTAACAACATCTAAATAGAGCAAAATGTAAGGAGAGCAATGACATGGTTGTCTTGCTTTTTTCTTGACAACAGTGAAATATGTTCATTTGGTTATAACATGGTGGTTCATGTCTATATCTTATGAGAATAAAGTTTGTTAGTTACTGGTTAGAATAATTTCCCAGGCCTACAGAAATTAGTTTATTGTATCCATTGAAAAGGGTCTTCTATCAGACCTTGTGATTGGCTCTCATTCTGCCATTCTCATTTTTTCATTGATTGTAAACATCCTGCTTCCTTATGCATTGTCATCTGAGTGCTGTCTCAACACAGCATGAGGGATTCTTCCCCAAAAGTAGCATTAAGCAAAACTGCTGACTGTCAGAATCTTGAACAACAATGATACTTCATTGTACCTTCTGGCTTTTAAACACCGTCCCTCGGGCTTCATATCTGAAGGTGTTGTCCATCACCTTGTCTGCTTAATCAATCACCAATCAAATCATATTTCTTCTCAATAGCATACCCGTATAAATCATAAGCCATAAAAAATGACTGATGGAATTCAAGAACTGTTTCATGTTCATTCCTTTTTTGACTTTAAAGGAACATAATAAAATATTGACTGTGCTAGTCCACGTAGGGCGGTTCTATGATACACACATTTGAAGGCATTTTTATTCCCATGCATCTTCATTCATTCACTCCTTGTAAATAGTATAGCTCTCATAATTAGTAGTGTTGTATTTTAGTAAATTTATGTCAGCCTTTTTCCCTTTTATTTTTAAATAGGATTTCTTTGCAAACCCTGTGCATGTAATTTGAAAAATACCTATTGGACTTTGAGCTTGACGGGAACAGTACATTTCCTAATATCATTTCTTATTGTGATTGATATTCATCTGCTTGTAGAAGAACTGCTAACTCAGAAGGTGCTGTGCCCTTCAAATATTTTGGAATAAGGCCAACTCAGAGAGCAACCTTTCAAAACCTTTATACTTAATTGATATATGGCTGACTTTCAGAATAGATTCACCTTCAGCTCATACTTTGCCTTCCAGCAGCTGTGGTTCTCATTTAAGTGAGAAACAAGTGAAAATACAAACCATAAGTACCTAGAATTGCATAGCTGACTTTGTAATATTTTCTACACATTTCCCTCCATAAGTATCCTCTTCTGTATTTTAATTTTTTTAATTCTTGTTTTATACAATTTAGAGAACACTGAGCTATTAAATAAGAATAATTATTAGAGTATGCTTTTGTCATACATTTAAATTTCATGCATTTCTTTTTTTAAATAATTCTTTTTTATTGATTTTTTTTTTTATTTATACAAGAGTTAGGGTACAGGCCTCCCCTGGTGGTGCAGCGGTTGAACTCTGGGCTGCGAAGCTCCCCGCAACCTCTGCAGCACCGATTAGATCCCCCGCTGCAGGTGAGGGTCCCACATGGTGCGCAGACCTCTCCTGCCACCCGCTGCTCCCCTCAGCAGTATACTTCGTCAGTCTGCCTATTCTGTTCCCTGCTCTGGCTCTGGTGAATTCTCTCACCCTCCTGCACTTCTGACTGTACCTAGTCCTTGTATAAATAAATAAATAAATCTTTAAAAAAAAGAGTTGGGGTACAAGCCAGAGGCACAGGAGGGTAAGAGGATTCACCATAGACAGAGCGAGGAGCAAAACAGGCAGACAGACAGAAAGCACTGCTGAGGGGAGCAGCGGGCGAGACAGGAGAGGTCTGCTGTGCCATGTGGGCATCTCCACAGCCTGCTGGGAATGGAACCCCCGCTACAGAGGCTGCGGACAGCTTGACAGCGCTGTGCTTAACCCAATGTGCCCCCGGGACACCCAATTTCATACATTTCTTATATCCATTTATATATATTCATGAACTAATGATCCAATTTAAGAGCACAGAAGTTGCATATGGGAATATTTTTCTCATGTGCTTAGAAAAATTATGGAAAATATGCTTTATTTATACTGATTCTGCTTATATATTGGTTTTTATAAAAATTCTAGGAATCTTCTAAAATTTACAAGTATGAAAACTAAGTTAGTAAATTGAAAACAATGTGATTTTACTCATAATATGAAAAGCATAATATTTTCACTTTTTTTTTCGCATGGTGGTGTTGATATACTCTCAAATCCTTACTATCAAACCATGAAAGCAAATTTTTTTTTTTACAAATAAACAAAAAGGTTACTTTGGTATTAGCACTAAATTTATAACATAAGATACTTTGTTTATTCAAATTGTGATCTTGAGTTACACATAAGCGTCTATGTAATTTACATAGATTAAAGATATGCATTTTAGTAAAGTTAGATTAACCTAAAATAGTATTATAAAGCAGATAAAATTGGATTTCAGCACTGCCTTTTTCCATCTCTTCTTAACAACTAGAACAGCAAAGATAATAACCAGTGGGGAGACATATAAATACCTTTCAGGGTAGAGAGCCTAACTCTCAGGCACAATCCTTTCCACTCACCTTGTATGAATGGAAAATCTTACCCACTGATTTCTGTTAGTCTTTGTGGTTTTTCTTTGACACTTCACTGGGTGGAAAATTATATTTTAATACTGCTACTGAGCGTTGATATCTTTCTTCTATGTCAGAAGGTATTAACATATTTTTCAGTGGACACTAGTGGATTAAAGATGTAGATTGTGTAGGGAATTATCAAAAATCAAACACAAATTTAAACATTTATATGGCCTAAGCAGAGAAGTTGGCCTGGATGTTTTGCTTCTAGGCTTAGCAGAAAGTAGATATTTCCACAGGGAAATGTTCCTAACTTTCTATTTTGTTTTTTCATATTAACCTTATGAAATTCTTCAACACAAACATGCACCACAAGTTCACACATGTGCCACGGGCAGCAGAAATGAGAAGTGCATGCCCACATCTCATAAACCATGTGAAATCATATGCTTCTCTAGACCAACATACAATGTCATTTACCTTAATTTTCACTGAGCACTAGCAGCCTGCCTGTCACTGCATGTGAGGTTCCTGACTGGTTGGATAATTCACTGCCTAAGGTGTTAGAGGGTGAAATAGGATTGTAACGAGATTTGGGCCAAAAAACATGGAAAATATTAGGCAATATGTAAATCCAGAGATGTAAAAAGAAAAATAATTGAAGTGAGTTTGAAAAAAGATGTAATTACGTAGTATATAACATGGATGTTTCTCTATATCATCTTCTAATGGAGAGATGCATACATATGTAGGTATTATTTTCATGAAGCTTGCACGACTCTTCAAATTTTTGTTGTCTATTTTTCTAATCCCAATTCTTAAGCTGATTAAAAATCAGCTTTTTAATGAACATAAATGTTTTCACTTTTAAAGGAGTTTTCACTTTTAAGATATATTTTATGAACATTACCTTTGTGGATAACAGATTTTACAGAACAACTATAAACAATTTAATGAGAGAAAATTACGAAATGCTAAACGCTTCGTGCATAAGTTTTCAACCATTGGTAAAATATAAATTATTTGACAAAATTGAACAAAGAAAGCTAAAAGATTTGATGGAATTTTTATGCTCTGATTATCTAGGCTGAGTTAATGCTTATTAAAAGAGGATTAATCTACATTCATATTTGAGAAATAGCTTATCAGGAAAAGGAATGAGCTTGGCTGGCAACATTAAAGTTTCCATTTGGAGTAGGAAAATGTGGCCTCCTAGAGATAGCACCACAAAATGTCAATTTACCACATAGTTGTACTTCCCTTCCCCCTCAATTCTAGCAGACATGAGATTAGGATTAAGCCTGTCAGAAAATAGTAGAGGTACTTTGTCTATGATATAAACTCATAAAATCTTTTCACCTTGTATCCCTTTTAAATATTGCCATAAGTTCAAAATATTTAAAGCAATTCTAAAACATTTCATAAGATTGTGTTGTCCATAGAACTTTGTGCAAATCTTAATGCTGTTCAGTTCGTTTTAGGAAAAACAACGATAAACTTCTGAACATTGTTCCCTGAAAGTTTTTGTGAGTAGAAAGTCCTGGTAAAGATACTTATTTCATATTTATCTCTGACAAACAGAAAGTTTCCATACTGTTATGATCAACATCATAACTAAAGCAAGCTGCCCACCCTCTTACCTTTGAGGAAATTCAACATCTCTTTGAAAGGAGAGCTATCTCAAAATAGCTTTTAAATTGCGGTGCATTTATTTTTATGTTCCCCTCTCTCTCTTTACACACACACACACACACACACACACACACATGCACACACGTGCGCATGCTGAATGCTGATCAAAATACCAAATATGACTTACATTTTAGGAGTTGTAATTGTTCATTCTTATTTCTAGTCTTCTTTTCATTTCATAGGCTAATAGACCTCACTTATTTTTTATTTATTTTTTAAAATACAACAAACTAAATTTTGGAAGATAGAAGGGAAACTAAGAAAAAATGTCTTTTTTCCTTTCATTAAAAATACAACTGAATATACTTATGATGATAAGGATGCTATTACTTTTTTTCTAACACAAATATACAAAGTAGAGGAGTCTTGTGCCTCTGGGCCCTTAAAATAAGTCATTTATTTACATAACATATGTTATAGTTAGTGTGCAGAAGTACAAAAATTTATGTCTTAGGAGAATATTTTGACAACCTATTAGCAGTCTAGAACCATTTGAAAACATTATAATGATGATTAGAATGACCAGAATACAAATAGAAAATAGATATGTCCTCAATACTTTGAAATTTAAACTTATTTCACTCAAAACATTTAACTTTTAATTGGTAGAAATAGGCCATACCATAAATTTCACATTTTAACATGTCTATTAAATTAACCTTGATGAATGATACCTTCTTTCCCAATTTTTATTTTGGTAATATAGATAACATAGAAATTACTGTCTTGACTATTTTTCAGTGCACAGTTCAGTGGAGTTAAATACATTCACACTGTTATGCAGCCATCACCAACATTCATCTCCACAAATCCTTTCATCTTTTAAAACGGAAGCTCAGCACCCAATAAACACTAATTCATATTCCCCTCCACTCTCCACCCCGCACCCCCACTCCAGTCCCTGGCAACAAATATTCTGTCTTGTTTCTCCATGTTCTGGGAACTTGAGTCATATATGTGGAATCATACAGTACTTGTCTTTTTGTGACTAGTTTATATCATAATGTCCTCAAATTCATCTACATTTTAGTAGTGTCAAAATTTCCATATGTTAAGCATATTTTGTTTATTTGTTTATTCTTTGATTGACATTTACTTGGGTCGCTTCTATATTATACCTATTGTGAATGCTGCGATTATGAACTTATGTATATAAATATCTTTGAAACTCTGCTTTCAATTCTTTTGTGTATATATCCAGAAGTAGAATTGCTGAATCATATAAAAATTCTATTTTTAATTTTTTGAGGTCAAACCACTTTCACTGTAGTTGTACCATTTTACATATCTTTCCATTTCCATGCAAAGGGTTCCATTTTTCTCCTGGGCCTTGCTAACACTTGTTATTTTCTGTTTCTCACATAATAGCCCACAGAATGGGTGTAAGTTAGCATCTCATTTTAGCTCTCATTTTCTTCCTTCTAATGATTACTGATGCTGAGAGCATCCTTTCATGTATTTATTGGCTATTTGAATATTTTTGATAAAATTTTGATAAAATAAAAATTTAAGGCATCATAATGCCTTAAAATTTATATTTTATGAAGAATTTACTATTTGTTAGAATGTGAGAGTTAAGTACAAACTCACTTAAGCCTTTGGTTCAGTTCTTTTTTTCTCTAATATCATTTCTGCTTTCTCAGTAACAAATGCACAGTTGAGATTGGATATAACAAAAAGTTTGAGCAAAGGAAAAAAGACATAAGTTAGGGAGAAATTCTTCGTTTCTCCCCACATACCACCTAAACAGAACATCTTAAGGTATAGCCCATAAGTGCCTACTTATTTGCATACCCTCAGTGATATTCACAACATTATCTTAACTCTCTTTTAGCAGAGTAAAACAATCACTTGATAGTCCATTAAAAAAACACATAACTAGAACGTCACATCAGATGGAAAGCTAATTAGCTATACTCTTTTCACAGTACTTGTGCTTCTCCCTCCTAATCAGGCCTTTATTTAATACCACCAGTGCTCAATTTTTTCATTAATTGTTACGAACTAATTCTTCTATTTTTGTTAATAGCAGTTATTAAAGGGATGCAATATGGCGTGGACATACTGCTAAGCCCCGATTCCCTGGACTTGGGCCAGCCTGTCAGGAAGCAGAGTAGTGATCAGCATTCTTTCATCTTCTCTAAGGAGCTGTTCATAATCAGTCCTGGCCACATATAAAGGTCATGTCAGGATTGTTTTATAATGCATTAGAGAAGGTACCTGAAAAATTAATAAGGCAGAGTACTGCAGGTGCCACAAAATGTAACCAAACGCCTGCCTCATGCAGTCCTGATAGATCTGGAATGTGTCTCCTATGATAGTGGGAACAATGCATCATTAGATGACCCTTAGGAAGGAACTAGCAAACAGCAGTTAAAAATTTAGAAAACTTAAAGTGTCAGCATATTTGATAGTGCAAACTTGATGACTAGATGAATTAAGGAGAGATTATTCAAATTAAAAAGTTCACTATGTCTACACTTTAAGTCACAATATATCCTTGGTTTATTTAAAATAAGAATAAATTCATAAATTTTTCATTGATTTTTGCCTTTATTAAGGAATCATGCTAAATATAAACAATATCTTCCAAAGATAAGCTATGTTGAATATGCATTGATTAAATTGTGTTGTTTTTCACTTATCCCGAGTGATGGGTTTAACTGAGCAGTATTAATTTTGGTCAGAATTGTATATTTGCAAGGCACAAACTTCTCCACACAATTTTTCCCCATTATTTTCTGGTTAGGTTACTTAATGGCAAAATTTGGACCAAACTAATGTGAGACTATAGACTTTATCTATTAATCATGAATGTTCACATTTCACTGTAACAAAATTGTTGCTGCCTCAGACCCTGCACATAGACTGTATCACATTACATTTCTCACAACAGAAATATTTTGAATTCAATATATCTCTGGTAGTAAAGGTTTTACATGAATGATATTGGACCCAATCTGATATTTACATTCTTCGGTCAATCCTTGAAACCCAATTTCATATTGTTAACTTTGTGAGAAAAAAATTACAGTGATTGGAGTGAGTGAATTTTTCTCTGTGGATCTACTGAATGCTACAGTCGCTAATAAGATCCGGGGTTTTATAAAGTATTTAAAGTTTTGTAATTATTATAGTAAAATGGAATATATTCAGTATCAATTATTTGAAAATTTAATTTTCATGAAGATTGGAGGATTGCAGTTATATTAATTAGAGGTTGTTTTGTATTAATTACCAGTTGTATTAATTGCAGCCATGTCTATTGCAATTTAGTTGTTCAACTCATAGAGCTTCTCATTGTACCTGAAGGGATCAGTGATGACAAGGAATATGTTATCAGTCAGTCCCTTTTCCTCTCATTTCATTAAAAAGATGATAATATCTGTTTGATTTATCCTGTTACAGTTTCCATTATGGACATTTTTCTCTATGCCTCCAAATCAGGGCATGTATATGTTAAGATTTAAAAACACAACTTTGTGATTCACCATTAATGTATGCCAATCTTCAGTAACACTCTATATACCAATTGTAGCTGGTTTTGACATTTAAATACAAATTGCCTCTTGACTTAGCCATACATTTGGTTTGAAGAATTTGAAAACGTCTCAATAAAGTTGAAACAAATAATGGCTCTGCTCTGGGCCAAACCACTGCTTCTTACTCTCTGTACAATTATGTTAATTATATTTTGTTAAAATTCCCAGAGGTCTCAGCTCTAAACTAATGGCCAATATGTAGTTGTTATTAATTGTAATTAATATTGACTACTTGTGTGTGTCTTTCCATTTTTACAGTTACATTTCAAAGAGGAGATGGAGGGTTAATGAGCAATGGAAGGTATGCTAAGGAGATTTTTTATTATTATTTTTAATCAGGACTGGGGAACCTCTATTGTAAGAGGCTATTATTGTAATAAACGATCACTTACAATTCTGAGAATTCTAGGAGGAATTAAATGGCTTACCACAAGGTTTAATGATCTATCTGTTGTGCACTTTAGAGGAATCAAGTCCAGATGTTTCATATCTCCCAGACGCCCCTGAAGAAATTAGGAGTAAATATCACAAGGAATGTGTTCATTTGTTAGCAGGATGTTTATTGCATTAATTAGACATTAGCAAATGAAGTTGCTGTTGTTTAAGACTCCTTATTGGCTCTCACTAAATTGCTGTGAGTGAACAATTACACATAATCGATCACAAAGTAAATGATTCATGGATGATGAATAGGTTGTAGATTGATAGGACTAGATTCCACAACTTTGGATACTCAATTGAAATTGATAAAAGCTGATAACAAACCCATATATCCTCATCTATTTTCCCTTTGCCAATATGGAGATTGTAATTAGGCTCTGGTAATAACTTCCAATCTCCCATTTAATCAATATTTTAGCAAAAAAGAGATTAGGTCTAATGAGAGCTAGTGGATGTAGCAAGAAAGCAGTGGGATCTTCTTATTGCAGTTTCCATAGAAACACATGTTTCTCTTAGGGATTATACCAGAAAGGGTCTATCAAAAGAAAAAGTACAATGATTATAGATGCTGCTACTTCTTTGTAAATATGCCAATAATATGGGAAAAAAATCAGAATCCTATGTTTTATGTTAAAGATGGGAATATTTTATTAAACATGGTATGAAAATAGTTTTCCTTGTAGACTAAAATCACATACTAGGTCAGACCACAGTGGATCTTTTACTACCTTAAATTAATATATCCCTAATATTTTGCAAATTGAAGAACTTGGAAATAAGCTGTTAATGGAGCAGTATAAATACTGTTCATTAATTTCTCCCAAGTTCATTTTCTCTAAATCAAGTATGAGTGCTCATACCATGGGTTACAGGCAAGGGGGGCAGATAAATATGGGAACTGCAGAAATCAAGAAGCAATAGCCCAAAGTCCTGGAAATGGTTCATACTGAGCAGTCACTCTGAGCAATTGTTCCCTAGAGGTGCCAATTTATCATCAAACCTTGTTCCAGGATCCTTATTTTACCAATTCCTATCAATTTCAGAGCAGACAACTTAATTCATTTGAGATGTCAGCAGAAACCCAAGCAGGATGCTTCTGTTTCTACTCACAGAGTTATCTGTATATGGCCTTAATGAACTGTTGAAGTTCCTTAATTCTGGAGAACCTACACATTTTAATTTGAAGTGAATTGTTATTTAATTATTTAATCCATTTTAGTGCCTAAGACTGGTTTCCAAATCTCTCTTTGTGCTCCATTTCATTTCTGTTTTAGCCGTCCAGGTCTTCTAAATGCTGGTGACCCCAGTTATCCATGGCTTGCTGATTCATGGCCAGCCACTAGCTTGCCTGTAAACAATAGCAATAGTGGCCCAAATGAGATTGCGAATTTTGGGCGTGGAGGTAAGTTGTGTTTTTCACATTTCTGTTATTTGTTATTGTTTCCTTTACTTTCCTAGATGTTTTAAAAAAGACACCCTGGACAACATTTTATTCCATATTTGAATTTAATATTGTATAATACTAACAGTGTTATATATTTGCTAAATATTTCATTATAAAACTTGCATCTATATTAGCCTGAGTAAAAGTAAGCTTTTAATGAAGTCATTACTAACCCAGAAGATTAAAACGACCATAATTTAAGCTCCAAAAATAAGAGAGCCATTGACCTGTTGAGAAATGAATGAATTTTTTTTTTTAAAGATTTATTTATTTATACAAGCGCTGGGTACAATCAGAAGTGCGGGAAGGTGAGAGAATTCACCAGAGCCAGAGCGGGGAACAGAACAGGCAGACTGATGAAGAAATACACTGCTGAGGGGAGCAGCGGGCGCAGCAGGAGAGGTCTGTCTCGCAGAAGCTGCGGGCAGCTTCGCAGCCCAGCGCTCAACCACTGTGCTACCAGGGGAGGCCCCGAATGAATTTTCTAATGACATAATAATACATTTTGTTATTAAGACTATAGGTACAACATACTAAATCGGGAATTAGGCTGCTTTAGCTTTGGGAGTCATCATTTTACTTTTCTAAGCCTCATTTATGATATATGTATCAAGTGTGAACTATATACCTGTCATCATGGCAAACAGCAAAATATAACAGTGATATAAAGACAGGTGGCCCTTTGCCTCATGTAATATATCCTATAAGGAGTTGATATTAAATAAATATAACAAGTTGAGAAAGAACTTTTTTGTACATACCATAAATGAAAGTCAAAAAGGTGATAAATATGTGACATGCTCAAACCTTTAAAATTTGATGTCAGGTTATTGCAAGGAGACAAAATTGGACCCACTATAAATGATCATCATATGATCTCCGGCTCCACATTTGAACCAGTCAACAGGAGGGTGATAGGTTTAGAACAGAGAAATCTCTGGTCCCAGTTTTTGACAGATATATATGCGTTTTCCACTGGCAAACGAATTGCAATGACAGGAAATGAATTGTCTCCACATTTGAGGACTGCCCATCTGGAGTCCGAAAGACCCATATACAATGTTATTAATTCGATATCTGATTGAAAGGTTAAATTAGTCAAAAATGCATAAGCAGTGTGTGGAAAAGGTACAACCATAGTTCAACCTCCAGAAATAAGAGAGCTATTGACCTATTGAGAAATGAATGCATTTTTCTAATGACATGTATAAAGTGCAAGGCAACAAAGGTGGTTAAGGAATACAGACAAAGAAGGCTTTAAACATTGTCCAAAGCGTAATCAGAAACCATCGATGAAAGGTTTAAGAAGACAATTCTGGGATCCCAGTTCTGTTTTAAGTCATTCAGCCTGCTGTTGTCTGGAGAGTGAAATGAGTGGAAAATTGGGGTGATTAATTAGGAGTGTAGGGTTATACTCCAAGAAAATTTGGATGAATCCACTGGACGATTTCTATACTTCTAGGTAGAATTAATGCAAGAGACCTAGGGTAGGGTTAAAATATTCTGAGTGCATTATGAGCTTCAAGGGTAGATATCACTTGTTTGAGTATAAAATTATACTCAATGAGTAATCATATAGACACTGGTATTTGCTCTTTAAGAATAGAATATAGAGGCCTCCCCTGGTGGCACAGGCGGTTGAGCGCCATGCTGTGAAGCTGTCCGCAGCCTCTGCAGTGCTGGTTCAATCCCGGCCAGCCAGAGAGGGTCCCACATGGCGTGGCCAACCTCTCTTGTCTCGCCTGCTGCTCCCCTTAGCAGTGTATTTCGTCAGTCTGCTGTTCTGTTCCCCACTCTGTCTCTTGTGAACCCTCTCACCCTCCCGTGCATCTAGCCTATACCCTGGTTCTAGTATAAATAAATAAATAAATCTTAAAAAAAAAAAAAGAATAGAATGCAGGGCCTCCCTGGTGGTACAGGTGGTTGAGCGCAGCACTGTGAAGCAATCTACAGCCTCTGCAGTGACGGTTCAATCCCCGCTGGCCTCAGAGCAACCCACATGGGGAGCCAAGACCTCTCCTATCTCGCCCACTACTCCCCTCAGCAGTGTATTTCGTCAGTCTGCCTGTTCTGCTCCCGACTCTGTCTCTGGTGAATCCTCTCACCTTCCCGCACATCTGGCCTGTACCCCAGCTCTTGTATAAATCAAAAATAAATCTTAAAAAAAAAAGAATAGAATGCAAACACATGCTTTAATATATTAAAATGGTATTTCAAATAATAAACTTAAAAATTATTGCACAACCTGTATTCTATATATTACAACTCCCAAAAGGGGAGAAAAACGCCCATTTTCTAAATAAAATACAGAAAATAATCATACCTTTCTCAAGGGGTATGTAATGAGGATTGAATGTATGGCTACATGGTTTAGCACAAAACTCAATAAATACATGCCTGCTTGGTATCATTGGAGAAGATGAGAGGATAGACAGTAAGTTTTATGACTCCTCAGATTCGTGATTTCCCTCTGTAATCAAGTGCACATCTCTTAGGATTCTCACTTGCCCAGAGCCTCTGAGAGTAACTGCCTCCCTAAGTGACTAAACTTGGGACCTTCAATTATAAGCTATCACTTCCCCATGGGCAGATTCCAAAGCTCAGCATCCCCTCAGCAGGAAAGCAACACTCTCCTTACTGCCCTGCTCAGATTGATTTTATCAAAAGACATTGGTTTCCAAATTTTATAAATCATGTTATAGCTCCCTCTTTGCCTTTTATATTTATATTGGAAAGACATGCCATTCTAACTGTTTATCAAGAAATAAATACCTAAAGATGGGAAAAGTACTTTTTTTTTTTTTTTCGGTTTCCAGCAGGCTACACTAACCTCTAAAATGTCTCAGTCTAATTTGGCCAAGTTGTTAATCTGTAGGCTTTCAAGACTTTTCTTTATATTAACCTCATTTTCATGACATGATATATTTCACTGATGAACATCAAAGCCACAAAAAGTTTTTGCAGGGTTTACTCTGTCTCTTTTCATTGTAGTAGACATTTTAAGTATTTACTATGCACCAGAAATACTGTTTTTGTACATTGTATTTCCTTCTCATAATAAATGTATGACATAGATAATCATTTTTCCATTTTAAGTGTCAAGAAACTAAGGTTTATCAAGAAGAATAATGTGAGATCTGACTCTAAGCCTAAATTCTTTTACCTATCCTGCTCTGCAGTTCTAAAATTGGGATTCTTATGTTGATTATATAATTGGTAGGAAAAATATCATGGATACTGACATTTTCCCTTTAAGAACAGGTTATCTGTACATGTTCAAATGTAAAGGCAATAGTATTTTGAATAATAAAGTTACTCATTATTGCATAAGTCTGTATTTTATCAACACAAACAAGTTATAAAAATTCTTTTAACCAGTTAGTGTGTACTTATTCTATTCAAAACACTAGGTGAGGAATTGTGGAAATACAGACATTTCCAAATAAGTTATGATACAGTGAAGTAAACAATTATTCATACAATAATGCAAGCAAAGCATAACCAAGCAAAATGCATAACCAAGCTGATAAATCTCTAGAATGAATTATGAGTAATTTTAACTGTACAGAAGGGTTTTTATAATTAATAGGTTCCCAAACTCAAATATTCAAGTCACACTCTCTAAAGCACTAAGGATGGGTAGGTGAACGCAGTAAGAATGGGATGTGGGAAGTCCTGCCAGAGAGCATAGGTGGCAGCACCTGTTCAGGTCTGGCTGTGGGAGGAAGGCTGGACCAGAGTTCTAATCCATAAGCTGTAAGAGGGAACCCCACATCCAGCTATTAATGTATAATCTTCCAAATTTTCAATATTGGGATAAGACAATATTTTAAAAATGAAGAGTGATCAAATAATATTTGAAGGAACTATACAACCTACAAATCAAACGAGAAATACTTGGGCTTGAAGGGCTGACTGTAATTTCATCTTAGCAGAGAGATATTCTATTTCTAGACTCATAGTTTTAATTGTTGCAGAGTAGCATTATATGGGATTAGATTCTTCCTCTACTTTTTTTTCCATTTTGAACACTTGAAAACACACAACCACTTTCAAAACTGTGACTGAAGTGATTCCAATCTAAATCTGAAGTTTTGGAGAACCTCAAGTTCAAGATATCAGGAAACTGGGAAGGATCTATTTTTACAATTTTGGTATATTATTTAAATTTTTTAAATTGGAGAATAAATATAAAACTGATACTTGACAATGAAATATGCTTCTTAATTAGATTTTCTGATTACTTTATAGCTGAAAACAAAGTGGGCAAGAAAGCAGTTGTGAAATTCTGAACTCTAAAAGCAATTTTATTTACTTATATAAAATTGGTGAAATATAAATTTTAATTTAATGTCCATTGATATTCATTTAAAAATACTTACTTCAATTAAATACATATCCACCAAACTGTAAATCAAATTAGAATCCAGAATTCAAAACCCTCAGAGAGACTTGCATTATACCGTATACAGTATACATTTTATTTTTTATTTTTATTTTTTCATAACTATTAGCCTATCTTTATTTTTCTTTTTTAAGATTTATTTATTTATTTATAAAAGCACCGACTAAAGTCAGAAGTGCAGGAGGGTGAGAGAATTCACCAGAGCCAGAACAGGGAGCAGAACAGGCAGAAGGAACGAAGTACACTGCTGAGGGGAGCAACGGGCAGCAGGAGAGGTCTGCGCGCCATGTGGGAACCTCCCTGGTGGCCGGGGCGCTGCAAGAGGCTGCGGGCAGCTTCGCAGCCCAGTGCTCTCAACTGCTGCACCACCAGGGGAGGCCCTACAGCATACATTTTAAATCTCTTGTTCCTGTTGCTAGAGAAAACAATTTTTAGCTTTTGTGAAATGCAAAAATAATATTTTTATAAAAATCGTTATTTCAAGTACTGTTGGATAACATCAAATATAAAAGTTTTAAAATATCTTGACCAAACTCCTACATCAGTTTTCTCCTTGTGATGTCAACTTTGTTTTGTTACTGAGATAATTTGGTTTGCTACTTAATATTACAGTACTGGAACTTGTTCAGAATTTCTTGTCCTGAAGAAATCAAGTAGGTTGATGCTCTTAAGTCCCATGAAGTTTGGCTTTCAGAGCATAGGTCCTTAAAGAATATGCCATACTTTAGATTCACTTTTAACTTTATATAATTTAAAAGAGTTGGATATGGTGATTTATTTTTTGATTTATTTAGTATCTTTTCTCTGACAAAGAAAAATAAAAGCTCAGGAGCGAGGTGGCAGTTCTGTGTTAAAAGCATTGTGTAAGGATAATTCAGCACACCAAAATGATAAGTGGACTGATTGATATTCAGTGTCATTCCTGAAGTTTAATTTTACTCTTGCTATATTACAACCTGAAACCCTAATTCTCTACTTCTAAGAGTTAGAAGCATAAATTAAACTCACTGATCACTCAGATTTCCTTTTCTGTAGTTAACTTCTGCAGTATTGTTAAAATGACTTATTCATGAAACTGTTCCTTTATTACCAAGGGGGGTGGAAGGGGGGGACACGTTTGCTACTATCAGTTACACTCCATTTCCAGAGCTGTGAAATCAATTCAGATAAAGGACAGGTTGAAACTTCAGGAAAAAAAAAAAGTATGTCATAATCTGCACAGTATAATTTTGGGATTTTTGTGTCTATTCAGCAGTTTTATTCCCTGCCTTCTGGGACAAAGTGGGAAAAGGAGTTTCATCCATGGTTTGTAGATTCACTATTACAAATGCTTTGTAAAGAGCTAAAAATTTCATGGGTTTTAGAATAGAACGAACAACTGCAGGCATTTTTCAGTAGTGAATATCCCAAACTTCTCTTTCATGGTTGAGGAAGGTGGGGGAGGGGTGTGTGAGCAGTGAGACGTGAAGGGCGCGCAGTAGCTGCCTGTCACCGAGGCTGATAGTTGGCGATGGTTGTACATCATCTCCCCTTCATTGGCTCATGAAGCCCATCTCAGCTAAAATGCAAACGTGCGGCATGACACATTTATTTTTCATCTTCTATCCTGAGAGTTTTGGATTTCCTGTGCATCATTAAATTGTTTCATTTTCTATGTTCACCACAGATGTGCTGCCACCAGTTCCAGGCCAAGGGGATAAAACAGCAACGATGCTTTCAGATGGAGCCATTTATAGCAGCATTGACTTCACTACCAAAACCACTTACAACAGTTCCAGCCAAATAACACAGGCTACCCCATATGCCACGACACAGATCTTGCATTCCAATAGCATACATGAATTGGCTGTTGACCTACCTGATCCCCAGTGGAAAAGTTCAATTCAGCAAAAAACAGATCTGATGGGATTTGGTTATTCTCTACCTGATCAAAACAAAGGTAACAATGGTGAGTCAGGTCGTTTCTTGAGGACTTACTTTCATATCATTTGTGCATGAGATAGAAATTAGTATTCGTTGTTCAGTTCAGTGATTCATCATCAGGTTTGCTACCTAAACTAAAAAAAAAACAAAATATCGGCATGTATTCAGAACCTTGCACAATCCCTACCACCGCCACCACCACCTCCACCACTGTCGCTACCACCACACACCAACACCAATTGGTTCCATCCTTTTAGATCGTTTTCAATAGATTGATCAGCAATCCATCTCTACTTCCATTAGGACAGGATAGACAAAACATTCCTCCACCGTCCCACAACATCTGCTTCTGAGTTGCTAACTGCATGTTCTGCATGGGCTTGTGCTGTGAACTAATCACATGATGCCACTATGACCTCTGCCCTTTAACCCTTAGCCTTACTTTACATCCCTGACTACCGATTGGCTGAGGGATTGTCTAATAGAATGCCACACAACCAGTCACAGGATTTCAGCACCACCAGCTCTCACAACAGCTCAGAGAGGAGTGGCAGTCTCTCAGGTTGGTCTAATCACAGTAAGGAGAAATATTTGTTTGTCACCAGCATATGACCTGTATTCCATAGAACCATGAAGAGTACTGAGTCACAACTCACTATGAGGCATTTATCTTTCAATGACAATAATAGTTATCCTAATGAAATCATGCTGGGGGAGGGGGTAAAATATCACTGTCCCTTTATGTACTGAGAATGCAAGCGTGGATTTATAGAAAATAGATGCCATTTAATGAAATACTACACATTAAAGGGAAGATGAGTTTTATTGAACTTGAAGAGTCGATAAGTTTACCAGAAAAAATCACACAGGAAAGTTAGTTTAATGGCATGGATGCCAAAAGATGAATTCAACTAAAATGAACATGATTTTAGAGATTTTTCATGAAACTAGGATTCCAGGATGTGGCTTCTTATTTTTGGACAATCTTTCCAAAATGTCATATAATGGCAATTATTATATATTGAATAATAACATTTAGAAGGTGCTGATATCATGCTAAACAAGAATGTTAATATGAGAAATTACTGTTCACATATAAGTATTAAAAAATAATCTTACATATTGATAATTCTTTTATGATGTAACTTTTAATATTCATTTGAGATATATTAACCAAATTAGCTACTTTTTTTTAAAAAGATTTATTTATTTATTTATACAAGCACTGGGTACAGTCAGAAGTGTGAGAAGGTGAGAGAATTCACCAGAGCCAGAGTGGGGAACAGAACAGGCAGACTGATGAAGTACACTGCTGAGGGGAGCAGCAGGCCCGGCAGGAGAGGTCTGCGTGCCATGTGGGACCCTCGCTGGTGGCTGGGGATGGAACCGGCACTGCAGAGGCTGCGGGCAGCTTCGCAGCCCAGCGCTCAACTGCTGCGCCACCCGGGAGGCCCCAAATTAGCTACTTTTAATAGAAATATCATCTAGCACTTGTAGAGAAAAATGCCTTTTACCAGACAGAAATGTATACTTATCATAGTAAATATCAGGGATATTTACTCCAACCTCAAGCATTTTATCCCTAAAATGAGGAGGTCATAGACATACTCCAACTTCCCCACATAACATATACATTGTATGACTGATGACCTTATCTGCTCATTTCTAATTGATTCCATTACCCTATTTGCTTTTTTTTATATATATATATATTAATGACATGCTATTTAATTTCATGGAGAGTTTTGGGGGTTTTTAAGCACAGGTTCTTAATAAAACAACCTTATGAACTGTCACAGACTATCAGACATCAAGGACATGAAGAGTTAACTCTTTTACATCATTAGGGTAACATTTACTAAATGACTTTTCCTCAGGAGATAGAATCCTTTCAATCTGAAAATGTTAATGCTCTCTCTTCTTTCCAAAATGAGCCATTTGCTCTTCTTAGCTATTGGTAGAATGAGACACATCATAGAACACAGAAAATTTTAAACATCTGTTATGAATTTAAACTGACTTAGTAATATAAGGAAAAATTTTGAGTAACCTTATATGTCATTTATTTATAATGAGTCCCACGATTATACTGAATAATTAAAAAGTAATATAGTCTAGGCTTATGTCATTCGAGATACGTAAAGTCTCCAGCAACATACACATAAAAAAATTATATATACTGTAAATTATGGATCACCTAAGACTTGCTGTGAATCATTCATTAAATATTCTGTATATGTTGATTGCTGCTGAGTTTTAAAAGTTGTCTTTGAGTAATTGTAAGCAGAATACAATTCACAATAGTGCTTACTGCTTTTTTGAATCCATTAATCTCCTGAGTGACATTTATATATATCTATGAATTATATTAACTACTTCATCTACATTTGAATATGAAATTACTTAAATCGGTGATAGAAAGCATTCTATCAGAGGTGAGCAGTGTGAAGATATATTCTCTTCTTAGTTTAGTCCAGTTGAGTTTGCTATTATAGTCTGCTTTATTTTTATAATCATAGTCATGTTTTCTAAGGATCAGATTTAAGATCAAACTATCCTATGGATATATAATAATTTCATTTTATGAAATTTTCTAAATTTTTGCACAGTGATGAAACCAATTTGAAATGATCACAGTAATCAGGAAACTTGAATATTTCTAATTATTTTAGTGAATTTCTCATCTTTCTTGAAGCACTTTTATAATTTGCTCAATAAATAAGTTCTGAGAACTTCTGATAAGAATACAGCCATTTAAAAAGTATAAAAGAAATCTCAGATCTTTCAAAATGGTATCTATAATCATACTTATGTAGTGAATATATACATTGCACACATATATTATAGCATTAGTAATAATAGCTGGATCTTTTTATATACCAGTAACTAAAAAAAATAATATAACTTACTAATTTGAAAGTAGAATTTCTCTTTTCTCTATGGAAGTCATTTTTTCAGCACAAATAAATGTAAATTCAGATATTTACATTTTGAGTTGAAGAAAGATGGACCAAATTTGCTTGCAAGTCATCAAAATATGTTCCCCTAAATCATGGGCAAGTAATTCTCACCTGAAAATGCTTGAGGATTCTTTGGCTGCAATTAACAGCAACAGACATTAGTTCCCTTAGTTCATTCAATGTTTAGGTCTGAGAAAGAGAATTTAACTTCCCTTGGCTTTTGCCAGCTGCACACCACCTTGATGAGAACTTAGCTCTCAGATCCATGCAAAGAGAAAGCAGGGAAAGTTAGTTCATAGTGCTACTAAGTCTGCTAACAAATAGAAAGCAGAAATTTCCCCAGAGAGGAGATAGGAAGCCCTTGAAATCCCCTTTTATGAATCAGCTTTGTTTCCAAAATACATTTTTTTAAATCAGCTTCTTGGAAAAGTATAAGTAATGGCTTTGTTGACCTTGGACAAGGACTTCAACAGATTTGGGTTCAGAGACCCAGAAATAGTTATTTCCAGTGAAGCTGCTACATTCTAAATTGTTTTTTCTCTGACCGTGTGAAAATGGACCACATAACACTCAGAAAAAATACCTGTGTTTTCTCATCTATAAAATGGAGATATAATAACTTGTCTTTTCATGTCACTTCTCATGTTGATCACGTAACATTTCTAAAAGAGCCCTAAAAAGTGAGAAGAGCATGGTACACAAATGTATAAAGGAGGAGCAACTAGGGGAAAAGCTATAAAAGATGTATGGCCCAAACTATTCCTCTTTTGATTACTAAAATGAAATACATGCAATATTTAATTGTTTGTGATTTGAGTAGGTTATCAGGAAACAAAGGATAAAGGGCCGTCTACCTGAAAGACAAAAATGACGGATTTAAATTTAGGCGAGTTTATTATTCTCATTTTGAGAATAAGGCTAATTCTGAGTTCTCTCTGGCTCTAGAAGTGTGTGTAATGAAGCCTGTAGAAAAGGGTAGAACCAGGTTTGCTCTGAGACAAGGATTAGGAAAGTGTAATAACGACTGATATTTATCGTGTATTCTGTACATTCTAAGCTCTTTGCATGCATTATCTCTCGTAATCTCAAAATACCTGCAAGAGTTGTAACCACATCCATGGAAATTAAGCGATATTTATTAACTTACTAAGTAGGTGAGAAATTAGTCTTCAAACACAGATGTCTTGAAGCACAGCTGCCTGCTCTCCTTCCGCTTAATACCTTCCGTTCTGTGAAAGCACTTTCGTTGCACAGTTGCGCTTTCCTGTGTGTGCCTATGTACACATGATCTAGAAAATAGATATATTTCTATAAATAGCAAGTGTATGTATGTATAGTTTCACAGTTTTTTCTGGCACTCATGTAGTAATTATGTTATTATTAAAATATGTAATTCTCTGAATTGGCGGATGCAGATTAGTAACTGGTAGAACAAAACAACTGAGATTTTTAGTAATATCTCATTGCTCGATAGTGCAGCTACAGATATTTGAGGCTCACAGCTTTTCGTTCTGGAAAGATGAAGTCTTGGGAGTAAGGACAATGTCATTTTTTGACAAGTTACCCATGTTCCGCTGAAGCTTCCTTTGTCATTTGGTTGAAGAGGTATCCTACGTTCAGCTTTGGCCCATCTCTAAGGAAGATCTATCTACCAAGTTTTGAAAGAGTGAACAAGTGTACAGTACTGTACAAATGATTAATTTTATTTTTATATTTCATTGAGTTCCAGTAATTCCAAATATGACTCATGCTCATGTGTGGATGAATCTATTTTGATTACAGTTGTATTGAAACTGATGATTCTGTTTCCATTACATCCCCCTTCTCTGTTTGGAATTCTAGGAAAGATTATGCTTCAAACATCTGGGAACTTGTCTCACTATATGCCAAAATAATTGTGCCATTAATTAGTTATAAATTTTATAAAATACACTATTGGGAAAGATTTACAGACATCTAGCAGATTGTAGCTGATTGATTTTTATCAGTACTTTTGAGAGAAAAATGTTACTCTCCTGGATTAATTAAACTGAGTAAATTCTAATGGAAAAGTTTAGCCTGTATCCTTAGACACTGCATTTTCCACTGAGAGAGATTATGCAAAAGAGCATTATAAATGCACCAAAATCTGACATTTGAAAGAATTTGCTGTGGCCCATTATTTTGTCTAACAATGAAAACGTGGATGCAGCTTATGTGAATAAATCAATAAATGTGCTTTTGCTGCAGCATCCATGTTTTTGGTTTATTCAGCTCTGCAGTTAATGCATTGGGAAAGAAACAATATCATTTTTGAGTGATTTATAAAAATGTTTTTCTGATTATATCATCTCATTGTTTGTAGCTTTTCACAACTGCAACATACTGATTTTCATTCTTTCAAAACATAAATACATCTTCCCATCAGATGTACTCTGTGACTTCCAGTATTTTGGTAGCTCTGAATAAATGCATTATTACTTTCAGGTGGGAAAGGTGGAAAAAAGAAGAAAAATAAAAACTCTTCTAAACAGCAGAAAAACAATGGATCAACCTGGGCCAATGTTCCGCTACCTCCTCCCCCAGTCCAGCCCCTTCCTGGTACAGAGCTGGAACACTATGCAGTGGAACAGCAAGAAAATGGGTAAAAATGCTTTCTATACCAACCACAGCCCAGGGCTGTGCTGTGCTCTCCAGTGTGCATTTTTGTCTTTATCTTGTGTTCTCTTAACTGTTTTCCCTGCCCACTTCCGAGACTGTTCATTGCTTCCCCTCTCTTTTATTGTTTGCGCCACCTATATGTTTTAAGCTGATAGATAGATACAACACAGCACATATTGAGGACCCTGAAGCCTTGGCCATCGAGTGCCTCAGATTGTCTGCAATCATGATAATGCAGCTTCCATTTATAATATTGCTTGTTAGTTTGAAAGCAAGTGCCCACAGCTCTGTGAACTAAAGAGCCACTCCTGATAAGGGCTGAAAAGGGAATTAAAATAACCTTCTTCATCATCCCTCACAGTTTTCTAACGACTTGATGTCTGGACATAGCAGGGCGCCCACTGTCGCGCCCCATCACAATGGGATAATTGTAGGGTCCTGGCTAGTGAGTAGAACTTTAATCATCAGCTTTGATGGGAATTTAGGGACCAGAACAATAAAAGAGGTTCAAGCCAATGCAAATTCTGTAACAAAACCCATTTAAGTTAGAAAATTTCCTTTGAGGGTCTTTAAATGTGACCAGTTTCCTTATTCTTTCGCAAACATCTCCAAAGAGTTAGTTATATCCTCTGTTCGTTTAAGTGTGAATTGATTTGAAGGCAGAAAGACACTGATACTTTTTATTATTTTAATGCCCAAGAAGCAAATTAGAAATGTATTCAATCTTTTTTCTTATACTAATTCTAATTGCTCTTATTCCTCACAATTGCTGAATCCCCATTACTTTTGACTGAAACTGGAAAATGCAAAATTAAAACAGGTTTTCTTCTTCCATGTGTTTATTAAAAATATGTAGTTATTAAAATAGCTACATTTATTTGAATAATGATTTTATTAGCATTCTTGTTTCACATAAGAATCACATGTACATGCTTATGAGTTTTTTTTTCTCGTCTCCTTTTCTTTTTATGTAATTGCTCTCTTGGAAGTCTCCAGATTAATTTCACTAACTAGAATTTTCTGTCATGCTTGCTTCCTCAAAAGACCTTCATTTGCCTTTTCTGCTAGTTAATAATATAAATACATGTGTACTAAATATATGCATTATGCATAATGATAAATATGTATACATATACATATATATAAGAAAGAAAAAAAATCAGTATATTTTTACTTGTGTTTTTTTTTCTCTCTTTCCAAAGGTTTTATTTGCTTCTGTGGGATTATTGTCCCCATAAATATGCATACGATTTTTACTTAACTTGTTTTTTAAAGTTTATGTTTGAAATATGACACTGAGACCATACCCTTTTTCTCTGACTTAAAAATGAAACTTCTAAGTGTGATCTTACGTAATGCATGTCAGTGCTATCAGTGTGCCAATATCACATGGATACTGGGGCAAAGAAAAAAACAGAGATATGTATTCCACAGGAAAAGATTATTACAGGGCTTGGTCATCTGTTTTTTAAGACTGTTGTCAGAATGGGCAAATGGCACTTATAACTTGGAGGAGGTAGTAGTGCTGTTAAACAGTTAAAAGAAGAATCTCAACATCTGATCACATTAAAATTATAGATATTTGGAATCTTTCTCTTTTTTTTCTTTTCCCAGTAAGTCTACTTAAAAAAATACATAGACTAAGATAATACCTAATGTTTCTCATGGATTTTATTACCAATAACACCTATAACCCATTGAAATAAAACTAATTCATTCAAAATAAATGCTAAGCTTGTCATTTGATTTTATTGCCTAGCAGTAGAATTGGAAATGGTCATTTAATGAAAGAAATAGTACATAATGGTATCGGTTTTAATTTCTTGACACATTATTTTAAGAACATTGAGATATTACAATTATTTTTATTTGGAATTGTCAATTATTTTAATATCCATGCAGAATCCATATGTTACACATTCTTTTTTTTCTGAAATATTTCTAAAGAAATCCATTTGCTATTTTAGATATGAAATGGAATACATATTTTGACTATATATATTAAAAGTCCTTATGGCATGTACTTTCATGCTTATTTTCCTTCAAAATTTTTGTCTTCAATAACTAGTACTTGCTGAAAAAGTGATATCACTCTTAACAAAACAGTGAGGTATTAACCTGTCAGTAAACTGACAGAAAAGTTCAGTTTTATTCTTTGAACTTTGTTATTGAAGATTACTACTTGAAAGTTCTTTAAGTTGTTTCTAATAAAAATAAACATTTTAATGTCAATATGATAAAAATGAATTTAAAAAAGTAAATTTGGGATGATTTTTGTCTAACCAGTTTTATGTTTTCTAATGGGAAAACCTTGTAATACTGGAAAGGAAAGGTTTTTGAATACTTCCTAAATGTTTATACACTTCTATTCATTGAATATTTGAACTCTTAATGGTGACCTTAATATAGCATATCCACATTGATTCTCAATGATGAGCATCTGAAATTTATATAATGCCATGCAGTTTTAATCAAAACAAAGAATTTTTTAAAAATCAAATATTTCACAAAAGAACTTTTCTAGAGAATTGTCCATATGCTTTGATTTGAAATGTTCATAATTCAGGCTGAAGACTTTTTGAAACATGAAATATAAAAGTTTTGGTGTTCCCTTTCTGCTTTTAATGATTTTGATTTCTAACAACCAAGGATGTTGCAGTTACACTGGTGGTGATAGTTTCTATTGTTTTTGTGCATCATAATAAAGAATTAGTTAAACACACACATTTTTATGTACGTAAGTATTAAGCCCAATGTTGTGAAGGAAAGCAATGGAAACAGATGGGACAAGTACATGGTTAATAAAAAAGATATGATTTCTGATCTTGAGAGAAGTGGAAGGTAGAGACCAGAATCTGCACACACTATTTTTCATGGCAAGCCTAGATAGGCAATATGCACACAATAATAATTTGCATATATGAAGGGATAATGCCAGAGGTGCCTAGGGAAATCTTATAGACATTGAGTTTTCAGGTAAATCTTAAATTATTTATTCACAAATAATATTAAAGTTGGGGGTTTCTTGAGTACCAGACTCTGAGTCAGAAACAGTAAAGACAAAGAAAATGAGAAATTGTGTCTAATATAAAATCACCAATGATCCAAAGTAGATTGCTAAGTAATAACCAGAAAAAAAAAAAGTTACTACTGTTGCCACTGTCTGTGTAGATGGAGAAATATTTTCCTCCTCAAAGACAAAGAGTAAAATGAAATGAAATAAAAGATGAGACTAAAAGGAACATCCCATTAGTCCTAGCAATCCCCACTCTTCCTTCAAAACCCCACCCTATTCCAGTTAAAATTACTTGCCTTCCCTTTTCCCCTCCATTATTCCTTCAGCTTATGCATCCAATGTAGCACTCATCACGTTGCATTCTAATATTTTTCTGTATCGTCAGCACCTGGAATCTGTTGTATGAGGTTGTATTTGTTGAATTTGAAATATGCATGGGCAGGATATAATCTGAGATGATGTCTTCAGCCTATTTGTGATAACTTGTTCTCATAGGAATCTGATCTTTGGATATAAATTAGGGATTGGAAGACATGAGACAGGATACAGGTTGATAACATGTGGGATACTGCAATAAAATGGACAATATTAAAGAAAATATTAAGGGAATAAAATAGGATAATGGCAGTGAGGTGGAGGGAAAGTGATACATTTTGAAGCCATACCTACCTCAGAATTGTCACAATTTTGAAAAGATTGTATCTTTTTTATTGCAATGTTTGTTTCTGAAGTTTAGGTATCATCAGTTTTCTCTCCAAGTCTTTTTTAGTATATCCCCCCAACAAGATAAAATATCAGAAGTTATTCAAATACGTCTCCAAATAGAAAAATATGTGATATTAATTCAATACTATAGCAACCATGGTAAATGTTCTCTCTCATCAATATGCCTCTCTAAGCTTTACCAAACATGTTAAAATGTTTGTTCCTAGCTATAAATATAATGTATTTTTATTACAGTTATGTGATGCTACAGAGAATTCAGAAGTAATTAAATAGAAAACTAGTGCTTTGCTTTTGTTATTGCAATTAGAGATTGGCAAGCTTTTGAGGGTGTTGAACTTCATTGTATTTTTATTAATGATTTGGTATTTGTATCTGGCCTTTAACTACTCAGTTCACATACACATTGATTCATTGTCATCTTTCTTATTATTCACGAGTCAAGACAGATAATATGATGCCGCATACTACACTGACAAAAAGTCAAAGAATAAAGCTTCTCTAAAAAGACTGGCCAAAAGACCTTTGGAAAGGCATTAGAAACATTCTCACAGTCTTTTTTAATGTTACTAACAAGAAAAAGTCAAAATTCCATCACTCAAATAGGATATATATCTTTAAATGTGAAAGAAGTTCTAAAAACAGAGCTACACTTTTCATAACATTTACAGTGTCATTTGTTTCTTGTCTTCTTCAGAAACTGCATGAGACCTAAATATCTGTTGTTCTGGAACAAATATATTAAAGCAGGCGTAACTTAGACATGATGAGCAGTTCTCCCTCACATATATATGTGCTATGTCCCAACCTGCTTTCATTATTCTCTCATGTTCTTCTAGTCTTTCTTTTTTTTCCCCCCCTCTCTCTCCAGTTCCTACTTTTCATGTAAATCATTGACATTAATTCATGGACTTTTCACCACTTTACTTACAGGGTAGAAAGCTAGATTGCTACGGTTATAGATTATCCTTGTGGGGGAAAAAAAACAAACATGGAACAGTTGATGGTAAATACTGTTCTAGTTAAAAGGAATAGCTAATAATTTTTTTTTTAAATTAGCATGTTGTGCAGGTTATTTTATAATATCAAAAATTGTGGGGGGGAGTGTTAGACTTTCCTTTGATGAAATTTGATTAATAAAAAATGTTTAGTGAAACTAATTATAATTTTTCTATGTTATCTTAACAGAGGATGCATATAACATTGTTTCTTCATTTTCTTATGTTTTTCTGCATTTTATTCCATATACAAGTTTCCTTTATATTGTTGGAAGTAAGAATAATTCACTCTTTATGAAACTGGAATATTTTATGAAATAATCGACTAACTCCATTTGAATGATTGAATATATAAACATGTTCTTTTATTCAAATTTGTTACATCTGGCATAAGTCAATGTAGGTAATAAAAGTACATACACTAGTTTATGGAACAAAAAATGAGCCATTCTGTAACAAGTTATATGGAGTAAATTAAATTATAACTATTAATGAAGAATAACAGCTTGTATATCCCATACTAACAATGGGGGATTTTTTTAATTAGGTTTCTTACATATACTGTTGCTTGCCTTAACAAAGTATTTGGAGTCAAATAAGTAAATTAAGAAAAAGAAACTTAATGAAGCAATTTGTAGATTTTCATTTGAAATGAATAAATATGTTTATCACCTACTATTTTTAAGATATTATGTCAAGTGTTGCAAACAAGGATATTTCGATGCCATAACATTAATGTAGCTCAAATCCACTAAAGGAAAATACACTTAACATTTGAAAGGTGAGATAACACAATAAATTAGAAAATAGTTAAAGGTACCAACATTGGAAATGACATGACAATGTATAATCAATTTTCAAGCAAATGTGGAAATATATTATAAGTGCAACTTCAGAAGAGTAATATATCAGTCTAGGTGACCTCATCATGGAAATCTTTATAAAAGATACAGGATTTAGCCTGTAGCTTGAAAGACTTGTAAGATTAAGATAAATAGAATTGTAGTTACAGCTACAAATAAGTAGAGTACAACTTATTTGAAATAAGTTGCATTTTTTAAAAGTAATGCACCAACAAATTTTCTGTTATCGGGGTTTTTGGGAAATTGTAAAAAAAATCTGAAAATGTAGGTTGAATCTTAGACATAGTCAATGGAAAGCGTATTTTCAAGTCCATAATGAAGAGAAGTGAATATTTCATTCAAATCATTTTGATATTTTCATAACCCAATTTGTAAGTGGTAGACAGTATTGATCATAGATTAGGAAAAAACTAAAGGTGGTAATTTCCACTGATATAATAAAGTATAAACACCTTATGCAACAGTGTCTTTTCTCCAAATGATATCTAACTGATCACTTACATGTAAAACAAATAAAAATGCCATCATTTTTGAACAATATTTTTTTTTAAGTCAGATTGGTGTTTATATATAGTCAATTCATGGGAATAAAAGTGTAAATGATGGTTTTCTAATATATGAAAGTTGTTATTTGTAACACATTAAAGTGTGCTTATTTATATGAAAATGTAAAAGTTCAGAAGAGATATTCCTAGCAGACTGTAAAATTTCTAAAATAAGGCCTTCTGTCTGCAACTCATTCAGGTAGCCTCAGTGAGAAGAAAATTGAACAGCCAAAGATGATCTCATTCCTTACATTAAACCTATTAGTGACTCTCATCCAAAGGCAAGGTTCCAAGCTCCTCAGTTGATGAGACCCTCTGTGATCCAGTACATCCTCTCTCTTCTTTATTTGCCAGTTCTTATCAGCTGGAACATACTTGAGTAGTTCAAAAACTTTATATTTTCTCTTTCTCTGGGCCACCACATGTTGCTTAGCATATTCCCTTTTCTGGTGATCAGCACAGCCTTCCCCATCTCCAAAGCTGGCCGTGTTGGTCTCCCTCCTCTCTACTCTCACGGTAGTTGATATTGTTGACTATTTGCTTAATGTCAGTCTGTCCCCCTGGATTGCATGCTCTGAAAGTTTATACAATTACCTGACAGATGATTTTTGAATAAATGGAGGATAAATGCAAACTATTTAAATAGACTATTTTTAAATCAATTTTATTTTAGCAGCAAAATTGAGCAGAAAGTACAGAGAATAAAGTGACTAAGCATACATGTGCAGGTTTTTGTGATAGATTCAATTTATGTGAGATTATGTTAGAAAAGGCACTCAAGTAAAAATATTTAAAAATTATGTAGACATTTACAAATTAGAGTTTGTAAGGGAGATTATGACTAGAAATATACGTTAGTAATATTTATTCTATATTCAATTTTGTTGGCTACTTATTGTGGCTACTTACTGTAGGCTACTTACTGTGGTAAATCATCTGTAGGCTACTTATTGTGGTAAATGCTGAAAATACTAAGTTGACAATTACTGAGTTCTTGAGTTTAAGGATCTCACATAAGAGGGGGGTAAAAAATACATGAAACAAATAATCCCAATATAATATGGAGAGTGCCACAACATAACATTATGGAATTGTGATCAGTTCCATATGGCAGGGACAGAGAAAGCTTCACAGAACTGATCAAAATTAAAGTGAACCTCAAAGGAAAGTATAAGTGCTCACAGGCAGATGATTTGAACACAGTCATATACAGACAGCTCTGTACAGACCCAGAAAAAAATATAGGGTAAGCAGGTAACTGGAAAGTAGTAGAAACAAAGGCTTACTAGATGGGGAAGTTATTTTGGGTACAGCTCACGAATTAGGACTTTTTCTTGTATTTGCAATAATGAATAATTCAAAACCTGTGAATTAAGAATTTAAAACATAATCCTATTGCTTGAATGGAAGGTAGGGTAGAAGAGGCAAAGATGACATCCCAGGAGAGTAATGGAATAGTTCACATCAGAAGGACGCTGCTCTGAAAGTAGAGATAAAACATAGGAGATATTTAAAGAAGTAAAAATTCAAGTTGTGTGACAGGGTAGTCATAATTAATAATATTGCTGTTCTTATCCTGTCTCCTTTTTATATTATCTTAAAGTCTATTGGATATATGAAATAATAGAACCACAGAGAAAGTATAAGTAGAAATGCTACTAGATGGTATCATTTAAAACTTACTTGATTAATTTTCAATTCACAAGCAGAATCCCCTAAAATAATACTGTTTTTAAAAAATCGTTATTCTTTAAATATATATTTTATAGGACTAGATTTTTGACTTGTGTTTTAGAGAGTTGAAATTAGATGTTGAGCTGAAAGGGAGGTGTGATTTTCTACTGAGAAAATTAAATTACTTAACACAATCAAGGAACCTTATTTGGCATCACGGTACTTCATGGTTTATATGTCACATAAAATGAAAGGTGAGTATAGGTCTAAAAATGAGAGTAATAAGTAAAATCCTCAAATGCTTCTTAGATGATAAATATTAGCATACACAATTGCTGCATAATAGTGAAGAGAAGAAATCTTCAAGCCCTAATTTCATTAATTTTTTTTTTAAAAAAAAGATTTGTTTGTTTATGCATGCAAGAACTGGGTAAACCAGAGGTGCGGGGCGGGGGGGGGGGGATGAGAGGATTCACCAGAGACAGAATGGGGAGCAGAACAGGCAGATCTACTGAAATACACTGCTGAGGGGAGCAGCGGGGGAGACAGGAGAGGTCTGCCGCGCCATGTGGGTTGCCCCCTGGCCAACCGGGGATCGAACTCATGCTACCGTGACTGGCAATAGCTTCATAATGCTGTATTTAACCCCTGAGCCACCAGGCTAGCCCCTCATTAATTGTTTTTCATTAGCAATTTGGTGTTCCATGTGAGTAGCTTTGTTGGGAATTTATTGCCTTTTGTAACTGTGGGATAACAAGCAGCTAATCAGGTCTTTTAGAATAAATGGAGATATTAAGATAACAGGTGTAATTATGATTAGAAATTCAGAAAACAGCCAGGTTATGTATTGTGGCACTACCCAATAACTTGAAATTGGGGAGAAATTAGCCATTGTGGTTGCTGTTCACTGCCACCTTTTATTGTGCATGCATGTGTGATAGGTGTCAATGTGCTTTTCTTCTCATTTAATTTCAGCTATGACAGTGATAGCTGGTGCCCTCCATTGCCAGTACAAACGTACTTACACCAGGGCATGGAAGATGAATTGGAAGAAGATGATGATCGCGTCCCAACACCCCCAGTCCGAGGCGTGGCTTCTTCTCCTGCTATTTCCTTTGGACAACAGTCTACTGCTACTCTCACTCCATCCCCACGAGAGGAAATGCAACCCATGCTGCAGGCTCACCTGGATGAGCTGACAAGGGCCTATCAGTTTGATATAGCAAAGCAAACATGGTAAATATCCCAATTAAATGCGAGGACCCATGCTTTTAACACATGGATAGAGGAAATGATTTTTCACATTTTTCACAAGAGATTCTCATAGAACAATACAGCTGAGGTTAGAAATGCTTTTGAACAACTCTTTGATTATCTAGTTAAGGAAAATGACTGAAGAAATGTTAAATAATTTGACCAAGGACCTATAACTAGTTAGAGTGAACCAGAACAAAAATTCAGATCTATTGAGCTTCAGGCTAAGGGACTTTTGGCTATACTGAATATTTCTTAATTTACAGTTTAGCTTCCATTGGCTTATTCTTGAACTCCCTTCCAGTGCCATAATAAAAGGCTCATTTTGGATTCTTTGGAGTGCCTGTGATTAATTCTGTCTATGGTTATGAATATGTAGATGTAAACTTCTGTAAATCACATATGGTTAGTGTCAGCTATTAAAAGACTTTCTTTGGACTGAATTAAATGAAACATTAAAAAAAAATGCATCCCCAAAGACCTAGGATAAACTTCAAGCCCCCAAATTCCATTTTTCTCATCAATCCATAAGCACTCACAAGGTACAAATGGTAATCTACTTAGATATGACAAGAATACAACTTGGACAACGTTCACAATTTTATATTTTTTTTTTCATTTGCTCTGTATTTTCCCAAATAGTAACATATGAACTACTCTTAAAAGTGACATTTCAATGACATACCACTGATTATTACTTCTACACTGTGCTTGATCTTACAGTAAATTTTCATGAAAAAAAAAATTGTGTCTTCTTTTATAGTTTTAGCTACTAGAATTAGCTGATAATAATTCTTACTCTCAGTGCTAATGAACTATTTATAGTTAACTATACAAAGAGATAGTATTATAGAGAATGTCACTTAAAGCTTATTACAAATGCAGGTTGTTAGAAGCAGAAGTTCTCAAACACTACTCTTAATCATGTGGTTTTTCAAAGGTCATAGACAATTTGCTGCTAAGCACTAGTATTTCATATCAGCCTGCTTTATAACAAACCACTATTTAAGTTAAAACCAGTGGTCTTAAGAACCAGATTTCCATCAAGTTAACTAATGAATTTTGCCATGTGAAGCACAGATCCTAGCTTAGAGGCTCTCAAATCTGCCTGCATTTTGGAATAACAATGCATTGATATCTAGCCCCGGGATTGTTTGGTCTGATATTTACTGTGGGCAGCCAACATTGAGACAACTGCCTGCTTACCACTATGTGACAGTAAGCAACTTGCTTAGCATTTCTGTGCTTCAACCCCTTCTATTTGTATGCTGGCGATGTTAATAGTAATTAGCCCATTTACAAAATGATAGGGCAGCATCCAAGACTACTCTCACTTCTGACATCGAGTACAAGTTTTTAAAGTCCTCAAGACCACCTTCAGTTTCAAAAATTTGCTAAAGGAAATCACCAAAAACTCTTACACTCAAATTTACAGTTCATTATAGAGTGCAGATTCCTACTAAAGTCTGCTAAGAGGACAGATGCATAGGGTAACATCTAGGAAAGTTTCAAAATGTAGTTTCCATTGGAGTCATGGCAGGCAGGACTTTCCCAGAGGTGATGTATGACAATAAACAGAGTATTGCTAGGCAGGGAACCCACATCAGCTCCAAAGTCTAGAGATGTAATTGGGGCTCTGACTCTCCGTGTGGCTGACTTCAGTTTCCAGTCTCCATTGAAGAACTATTGATGACAAGGTGTGACTCAAAGCCCATTTCTTAAGTTCTTTTGGTAGACTTTCTGAAGTAGCATAAAGATTCCAGTTAAACAGACTTTTATCAAACCAGACATTTTAAGAACTTTGAGATTACCTTTCAGAAGTAGAGGAAAAGGTCTAACTTTTCTTTGGGCAAGGTCAAATTCTTCAATACACATCAGAGATTGTGTGTGTGTAGGGGGTATTGAATGAGACTGTACTAATGCATTATGTAGTAAAATATCTAGCTACATTATAGTTGTTATTATTCACAAGAGCTTGGGTTTTGTTCATTGCTGACTTTCCATTAGAAGCATGCCCTACTTAGTAAGTGTTTGAAGATATTTGCTAAATAAATGAACAAAGTAATTCTTCCCTACCTGCTCCAACTTTCTCTGCTCGTGTACCTCTTCAGTCCTGCAGTCCTCCAGAATGCCATTCTTGTTGCCCTTTGTAAGAGCAGTAGCGTCCATGTATTCACACAGGACACTGACATTCTGGTATGAAGTGACTCTCCATCTGGGGTCCATATTGACATCACAGGAGGAACATTTAGAAAATAATGATTCCCAGGATCTACTTTCAGGGACTGTGTTCATTGAGGCACGAAGTACACAGCACAGTGCCTGTCACTAGATGATATTTATAGACATTATATACCCTCTTCTCAAATTTCAGTTAATCTTCAAATCCTAATGAATTCAAGGGGTATGTTTTTCAATCCCTTAATATGTATTTGTTCCATCAATAGATGTCAGCAGTGATTTAGGATGGAGTGTTGGCCTGTTTTGTCCCTCTCAGGACCAAAGTGCACACCATTAAAAAGGAAAGAATCCTATATCTAAACACCACTTTGCATTCTGTTGTTCATCTCTTGGCCCTCTCCATCACCAAATCACAAACAGAATCAGAGGCAAAAAATTTAAACGTGATCATCAGCACTCAAGATTTTCTATAAGTGAATAGGAAGCCTCTGGCATTTTAATGAATGAGCTATGATGAGTGTCAGAAAATAACTCATGGCCTCAAAGTCCTGATCTCTTAAAAGATGTGGGCCTGGTGTTATTGAGGTAGCTTCCAGAACTAACATATTTGGTTTTTTTTAATACTGAAAGATCTAGAGTCTTGTTAACTTTGGAGCTGAGTGCAAGCACAAGAATGCAGTTGGGAGAGGAAAATTAAATTCTCAAAGAATTAAATATTGCCCCCAAGGCAAATATTAAAGGAAAATAATCTTGTATCTTTAATTCAAAAACTAAGAAAACACAGAGCCCTTGTTTTGCATTTCTTTTCAATAGCAAAGTTCTCTTAAATATATCACAATAAGGCAAAGAAAAGACTTAATTTGTCAAAACATGTAGATTTTCACATTTTGAGGTTGTAACCAGTAACAAAGGATGTTTTCACTTAGAATTTTTATGCTTTAGAAGAAACTAATAGCGATTCACAAAGTGAGTAGACTTGACCCCAGTGAATTGCACCCCATTTTGCATGCCCTGTGATTTGAAATAAGTCATTTAAATTTAAACTTCACCTTAATAAATCTTAAAAGATAGCTGAAAATATACATGTTGACATGTATATTTTCATTTATTGCAAAGGGCCTCTTTCTCACACAGTGTTCTAAATGCAGAGACTATGAAGTTGCATTATTTCTGGTTTCCAGGTGTTTAAAACTTGGGTAGGTGTGAGATGCAAATCAGTCACTAAAACACAATGTAGTCATTCCTACCCTAAACTGGGCTAAAGGGGAGGCAAGCGCCTGGCCTGCTTAGTGGGGATTGTGCAAGAAGAACGTCTTGTAGAGCAGGGAATATGTTCATCATTGGGAGCAAGAGGGTGTGAATACCGGTCATGGTTTTTATTTATTTATGTTTTAATGTTTAATTTTTTATATATTTCTTACACCATTGTTCATTTTTAAACAATGTTTGCTTTATGCTTTTTTTTTTTTTTTTAGCTCCATAAGCCGGTTCATGACTGTCACAAGGTACTTAGATAAATTTAGTACCACTTGGACACTAAGCTGGAAACAAAACTGTTACATTTTTTTTGGACAAAAATGTCAGTTTTAAACAGTTATTAGTGACAGATATTCCTATCCTTTGGTTGATTTATCTATACAAAATGCTGAGTGTGTATTTTTTTTCTGTGTATTGTCCCATAAATACGAGTAGAAATGTTTCATGATCTATAATTTGTTGTTAGTTTGAGTGAGTCACATATGCATAGCTCATTGTCCCTGCTAAAACGTAAGAACACACCGTAAGCTCCACAATTAGTTAAGGGTGAACAAGGAGACAAAACTAGTTACCATAGCATGCTGTTTAACCTAATTGCAATTGTGTTGAATGTTAACAAATTTCTCTTTGCCTTCCCATTTGAATTCTAGGCACATTCAAAGCAATAATCAACCACCACAGCCCCCGGTTCCACCATTAGGTTACATGTCCGGAGCCTTGATTTCTGATTTGGAAACAGATGTTCCAGATGATGATGCTGATGACGAGGAGGAAGTTTTAGAAATCCCCAGACCCCTGAGAGCACTGGAGCAGACACCTGGATCCAGTATGGACAATCTAGACAGCTCTGTGACAGGTAATGGAACTGATTTAATAGAAATAACTGACCTATTTATAACATTAAAATGCATCAAAAATCAAATACTTTCTTATGTAAGATTTATTCCACTCTATTTCTGTAACATTTAAAATATGTTAATATTAAACACAAAATTCAAAAAGGATTTGGAAATACGTTTGCTTTGCTGCAAGAATGATAAGAAAATTCATGAATTTTAAAAAGCTTTAAAGACATGAAAGAAAAACTCAATTATATCTAGGGCTTTCATGAAAAGTTCACTCTTCTGGGGAACCAAGTCCATTACATAAAAACCCTGACTTTTAGAAATGATATAGTTTGTATATCAGAAGCAACATACAAAGTGAATGAAATCTTAAAAATGCTTCTTGATATTTCTCTCTGTAAAATCATTCACTGATGAATATAAGCAAGTCTTCAGAATAAGCCTCTCTAAGGTTGCACAGGCGTTATTTTTAGAGTGGGGAAAATGTATGATGAGATAAACTCTACACTTATGCATTTTGCATGGCAGAATCCAATGCTTTCCCCTTTCCCAAGACATATTGTTATTTTTGCTATTTACTCATTTGGCTTCCTCAGGCCTGGCCCATGGAGAGAAAGGCTGCAATGGGTACCCGCTCAGGGTGGTCTCAGAACTACAGCCTTTCCAGGAAAATACATTCATCAAATTTTGTTGGAAAAAATTAAATCTTAACATGTACACAAAGAATATGGAGCAAAGTAAAAACAAATCAGTCATTCTGTTCAAGTGGGTATCTATTCTTTGACACAGGCACGATTATAGAGAAATAACAGCAAATGTAAGGTTTGCTTTTGCATGTCACTGGGTCTTCTCAGAAAACCACCTATTGCTGTATTTGCCCCAGCAGCTTCCAAACTTGCACCAAGTTCCACTGCATGTTAGAGTTTAGCAGACACTGATGGAAACAGGTTAATTACAATGATGGAGAAGCATCAACACCTCTAATTTTCTTCTGCATCCTTCCAGAACTACACAATGTGTGATACAGGAGCTCATGTTTCAGCTTTTCTTCTCATCTGGGGATGTCTGCTTGCCAGGGTAATTAAGATTTAAGAACTGCAGACATGCTGCTGTGATGTGAAATACAGATCTGAAGAAGGTGGCAGAGCAAAAGTTAAAATTGTTGAGTGCAGACATAGAGCTAACTTATTAGTGCACTCTCATGTTAAGCCCCTTTGCCTGAATTTCTAACATAATCTCCTTCAGGGTAAAATTCTGCATATTTTTGCATATTTTGCTAATGATACTGAACTCTTTTCCATTAGGGATGCAATACAGAATTGCAGTAATAATGAAAAAAAAGTTGACTATAGCCTATACAGTTCTTTTATTAAATATTATCATGTCAAAGATGGTAAATATATCTGTAAATCAGAAGAATGTCATCTTGAACTTTTACCTGATCACCTCTTAGTAACATCTCCAGCTGCCTAATGTAACTGTGGTTAAAAACAATCTGCATTTCTCCTATAGCTAGGCTAATGTTCATTCCAAATGAAGTTTTTATTGCTAAGAAAGCAAAGTCTGTTTTCTTACTGGAATTCACTGCTTAATTACTGCCCCATATAAAAAGCCTCCGGGTATTTAGGTATGTACTCCATGATGTAGTTATCCTATGAATAATGCATCTTTCAGTCAAAAAAGTTGTACTTTACACATAAGTAACTGAATAAAGAACTCCCCCTTTTGGGGAAGGAACAGTCTACAATAACTGTGGGAAAGGTATAATCAAAGATTGGATTTGCTTCCTAGAGTGTAATTGTAATATAAGTAAATTAAAGTTACAAATGAAAGAAAATATACTTTCTCCCCAAAACTGTGAGTGACTATGATAGATAAGTGTGTGAAATGATAGAGTGTGTGAGTAATGCAGTGTGTGTGTGTGTGTGTGCGTTTTTGTAGGGATCTACGACAATATAGGGCTGTGAGTGTATTGGAGTGTGTGTGTGCGCACATGTGAATTCACATGTCTGTAGAGACGGCCCTGCTGTGGTTGTTGCATAGACCATCTTATAGAAATCAGCATGCTAATGGATATTGTTCAAATGTGTTTATGTTTTCTTCACACACTTAAGGCTAGTTTAATGGTGCTTAATGAGGGGGCAATAAAACAGACACTAATCCTACTAGTTTTTATGTATTTAAGGTGGTAAATGCACACAGAGTGGATTCTGATCTTGCCATAAATTACTTGGAGTTCTACATTTGTGTGTGGTGAGACTACATTAATCATTACTGTCACCTGAAATTCTCCGATAGAGATTTTCATTTTCATGAAATTAATGACCATTTTTATTGAATGGAGCTAATAGTTAGGCTCCAGTTCCTGAAACTTTAAAGCTGACCAGAATGACAATCCAGTGATAACACAGAGATGGGCTAAAAATCCTTTATATAAAATTAGGCAGAATTTTATTTGGATATATTGCATTTCAACAGCTGCCACATTAGGGACTATCTGTAGTTAACAAGGTGCAAAGTCCACGTAGTAAAGAAATAAGCACATTAATTCCAAATGGTTACAGCTAAGTAATTTGTGAGGGACTTCCAGAAGAGTTGAAAATACCAATAGTTTCCTATCCACATTGAGTGTCTTAGTTGACATGGACTGGTACAAAACAATAGCATTAGACAGGATAGCAAAAGACCCAGAAACACATTTGTCACAGTTCCACAAACCGGGTAGCTCATAATCATGAGAGAGGCAGATTCAGTTTGGGTGAGAGCTGTCCCTGGCTATCAGGCGGCCATGTTCTCTGTGATCCTCACACATGGCGTAGGGAGAGCAGGTGCTCTGGTCTCTTTTTATAAGGGTCCTAATCCCATCAGGATGCCCGCACTCTCCTGAGCTAGTCTATACTTCATTACTCCCCAAAGGCCACATCTCCAAATATCATCACATTGATGTTTAAATATATGAACTGTGGGAAATACCAACATTTGTTCTATAACATTCAGTAGTAGAAAATATGTGTTTGCACATTTGTTATACTATTTATTTATTTCCACCATAAGTATCGATTGAATGCATTTTCCTTCCAACCGCTTAGCTAAGAATTTAGATTCAGCAACAACAACTTGCACTTAGTAAGGACAGACAAACTTGCCAACAGTGATCTGGTTGTGTGTTTGTGTATGTGTGTGTGTATGTTGTATGCGTCTCAATGGGCTAAAAATTTTATTTTGTACATTTTCAAAGGGTTGTAAGAAACCAAACAAAGAAGAATATATGGCAGAAATAGTAAATCCTAAAATATTTGGTACCTGGCATTGATAGAAATGGTTTGCCTATTACCATGCTTAAGTTTTTAATATATGCTAACTCGTTTAATCATCACAACCTTATTTTTATTCTCATTTTGTAGGTAAGGAAATTCAGTCACAGAGGGCTTTAAGTTCATTTTCCAGGTCATTTACATAAGTGAAAGAAGAATATTCAGAATCAACCAATCTTATTTTTAAGATAAATTACAGTGATTCCTGCTCTGGAAATACCCAACTGTTTTCTAATCTCTGGATTTGGCATATTTAATAGGAAATAATTGCCTGCTCAATTAATCTCTGTTTCTCTCTCTCTCTCTCGTATGTATATTTGTACATACATATGAGTAAATATATATTTATACAAATATAACATATACTTTTATCTGTTATCATCAGCTCTTCCTAATGTACCCTGCATACTTAATCAAGACCCAAATAATAATTTTTAGATACGACTAATCTTTGTCATATTTAGTTCTATATTGTTACAGTGACTTATGCTAACAAAATTCAACTCTGTCAGCACTATTATAGGGACCTCTCTTTTTTTTTTTTTTTTTTTGTGGGGCCCTCTCCAGTAGCTGGGGATTGAACTGGCGCTGCAGGGGCTGCGGGCAGCCTCACAACCCAGCGCTCAACCGCTGCGCCACCAGCGGAGGCCCGAACTCTCATTTTTATAACATATTTAAGTTATTCACATAATTTAAACCTATTTGGTTATAATGAACTACCAAAATATTTTTATTATAGCACATCACACTCTGGGGCTAGAATGTTAACATATGAGATTATTTCAGTCTTCAGGAGTATGCTTGCAATATTTCATCCAAAGCCCCCCTTTTGGGTAACTGGATGCGGGTAGCTTTCAGTACGTCTTTCTGAAACGATCATGGTGGGAGTCCAGAGTAAGTGTTTCCTGCATCTAATGACTCCACCACAGGACTAAAGAAACAGAGGCAATAGGAGAGAGGGCAGGAAGTGGATGTCCTGAACTTGGAGCCAAAATTCTAACTGCCTCAGTGATCACGAAGAGAAAGACTGAGAGTGAGTGCTACAAAGTGAAATGAATAGGCTTCCTTGACTGCTGGCCCTCACATAAATGCCACAACTAAAAGGAAATCGTGGCTCTCTGTGTTCAGTGTTTTATGTCTTTGGAGGTTTTTACTAGAACTCCCAAACCAGATCATTTTGCAAACAATAAAACCTGGCAGCCTCACCATCTAACGGACCACACAGCTTTTACAAAGTTGGCCATTTAAAAGTGTGCCTAAAGCCTTACATTTGCTATATGATCTCCAGGACAATATCTTTAGTATTAGGGTAATTTCAGGGAAAATGTTAAAAATAATTAAATCGTTTTTTCTCACCAACTTTGATTTAAAAAGAAATTAAATACATCAAAATGCAATAGATAAAAGGGGAATAATGTATTTTTATGTGAATGAAAAAGTTATGTGATTCTATATGTCTGAAGGAAGGGATTTTTTAATTGCCAATTTTCCTTTCTGTAGATATTATACCTTCTTTCCTCCGGTCAGGAACATATGTGGAATTGTTTTATATTCAATATATTTGAGTGAAAGAAGGATTTCTAAAGATTAGGCATGTTTTCTCCATATAAGCAGAAGTCAATATTTGGATTGACTTGTTGAAAGAAACTTAAGATATTACTGAATAGATAGACAGATTGCACTTTGTAAGGAAGAGTTCCTGGATTAAAATATTGGCTAAAAAATGGGATGACGAGTTTTTGTATCTCATAAAAATGGTAATGCAACAATTAGCAGGGTCATATTATAGAGCACAGACTTTACTCTAGCTTAATGGATCTAAGGATAAGCATTTATCAGCAAGGAAAGATTTAGCATAAAACGACATGTAAATGAATTGATGACTGATCATAAATTAATTTTAGTGCTGAAGATGTAATAGAGGCACAGCAAGATGCCACTTTATCATGGTATTTTACTGCTCAGTAACATTTGAGCAACAACTTAATGTCCTCTATGCAGTTCTTCCTTAGCTGCTTGAATAAATTGGAGATTTTTTTTTTTTTTCGGTCTTTCAGCAATTTTAAACCTGGGAAATCTGGAAAGATTGAAAATGTAAACACAAATAAATTTGCCTATGTGACATAAATTCATTTTTCATTAAATGTTTAAATATGTATTGATTATGCTTGGAGCTGTAACATGTCAGATTTGTATGAATTGCTTGTAATTTGCAAAGAATTTCTAACTGAGCTGTTTTTACCTAGCATTTATCTTAATTTTCATGCTTATATTTACATTTGTGAACAAAAGCCAATTATCACAAAATTGCTTACTTTTAAATTCTTGAATCAATGTTTTTCTCTTCTTTCAATCATTGTCTGTTTAAAAAATAGTTTATGGAAATCTTCAGAAAATTATTCTTGCTTGTATTTATGAAAGGAAGAACACTAACTACAGATAGGTAAAATCCTTAACAGTTAAATAAATTTGACTATTTTAGAACATGGAGGAAATATGGTATATTGTATGTACTTTTTAATTCATAGGGTGTTACCAGCCATCTTTTAAAATGTTGCTTGGAATGGATCTGTTCCATATATTATACTCAAGTAGACAGGTGGGAGTGTCAAAGATTAAGACAGGAGAAAGAAGGAGAGAAAAGATACTTCACCTGTTTATGTTCCATGCCCTCTATTTTGAAGGGGAAGGTGAACTCAACTATACCAACCTGAGACACGTACCCTTCTCCTCCCCCCTCATTGTAGGACAATGAGGTTTCTATTCTTCCCTCATGGCCAAATCTCTAAAGCACTCATCTCTTCAACCTTGATGTTATCTTTGCTCCCTTGCCCTTATGGAGAATAGCAAGACTAGCTAATCTTCTTTTTATACTGGGCAATGCCCACTTGACACCAGGTCTTTCCTGTGACTGTCCCTTCCCTGGAAAGGCAAAATAGCCTCAAGGAAAGCTTCCTGAATGGCAGGAAGCATTTGTGACTGAGATGAAGTAAAAGCAAAGACATGTAGGCGGAAGTAGTTGATTTGTTTAGGGACTGGCAAATTTGTGTGTGGAAATTGTTACAGGAATGATTTGCTCCTACAGGAAGATTGACTTTTTAAAAAAAACCCCTATTTTTGAAAAAGTCAAACTAGCTCTTTGCTAAGAGATCTCACAGGATGACATTTGTTTAACGACACTACTTTGGTGTATGACTTTTTTCCTAAGTTTTGCAGGTTCAGAGGCTAAATTTGTCAATATGCTAAATTCTCAGATATTATTCACACACCAATCCAACTTGAACAGAAAGATGAAAATCTAAAAACCAACCCAGCTATTTAAGATGGGTGAGTGGGGGAGTATACCAGTATTCAAGAGTCTCAAAATATACCCAAGACATATATTAATTACTTTTTAAGTTTCTCCCTTGAAATAATTATGTTACTGTTTTCCCCATTGTCTGAGAAATTAACAAGAGTTGGCTAGCATTACAGTCCTTATTAAATTAACTTTCTAGGTGTTTTTATGAGCACACTCTTTCTGTAACTAGAATAAGTTATTGCTAGGAAATAGTGCATCAAACAGAATCACAAAAGAATTAATAATAAAAATAATGTTTAAATCAATGTCTCTGTACAAGAAAAATGAAAATGAGTAAGATATAGTTCCTAATCTCTAGAATTCCACTGTCTAGAAGAGGAAATATATGTATACAGTGGACAGTAGTATAGAAGAGACATGAAATGCTACCATGTGCAGAGGTTTGAAATGCACAGGTTGTAGAGAGATTGACTCTGGAATATCTGGAAAGACAGATATTGTATGATTTCACTCACATGTACTATGTGGAGAAACAGAACAACAGATGAACTAATAAAACCAACTTTAGATCATAAAACCAAATTAGGGGTTAGTTGTTTGGTGAAGGATCAAGTTGTACTTTTAGCAGTGAACTTAATATTGTGTATACACATGATGATTTGAAAGAATGAACACCTGACTAATGTTATAATTCTTTATTACTTAAATTGAAATAAATATTTGTTCACTAACAAAGTGATCCATATATTATGGATTTTATTATGAAAATCAAATAAAAACAAGTAAATTAACTTATGAATAATGATTGAAAAATAAGTAAAAATTCACTCACCGCTCCCAAAGATTGTCAGCAATTAATAAAATTCTTAGCAAACTAGAGGTTTGTTGAATGAATAAGAGGTGATGAATGTGGATCAGGGAAGCTGACTCCATGGGGCACAATGGGGAACTGGGCTATAATGGTCGGTGGGGATAGATGTTGAAAGCTCTCAGACACCTCACTCTATGATTGGATATGGCATCAGCAAGTAAGGAAGGTTTTCAATGAGGAACAAAATTATATAATAGATGTTTCAGAAAAAAATCATTTAGATGGCAGTGAGGAAGATAAAAGGGACTAGAGGAAATCATTTAAGAGTAGCTTGGGAATGAAATTAGAGATAAAGAAAAGATGTGTGTTCAGAAAGTGAGTTTCCAATAGCCGATACTGATCTATTTGCCCATATTTAGCAGACATTTAGAAATACGGGAAACAGTACATGGAAGACACTGGCACTGAGTTTTAAACTATTCTCAGCTGTAGGGTTTCATATCCTTTTGTGATCACTGACTGGATCACTTTGACTTTTTTCTTATCTGCTGGAGCATTCCACTGCAAAGCCGATTGCATCATTTCTCCTTTCATTTTGGGCTGTCGGTCCTTGACTTGTGATTATTAACTCAGAAATGGTTCTCTCGGAGGAAGTTCCGTGGCCGTTGTTATCTTGGCTCCCTTGCAGTAGACTGTGTCAAGGGAATTTGTTTGGAAAGTAAAAAGTGTATCTCTGTGCTTTTGGCAAATAGAATCAAAACTCTATCTTTCTCTGCTACACTTAACATCCCTTTAACTTCTCAGATCCCTTCTAACCCCTTCGGTTTCTGATTTCTCTGACTTGAATGTGCATGAACCCATGTTATTGTATCCTGGCACGTCGGCTAAACGTACAAATACCTCATCATGTATATTCCTGTTGTCTCTGAAATACTGGAGAAAAGTGGAAATAATCTATAGAAACTGGATATGTGTTTCGTTTAATTAGAATATTTATATTCACTTTCATAAGTTCTATTTTAACCTCCCTAATTTTTTGCTTTTAGGATATGCAACCCTTGGTACTTTATTGTGTCATTAATTAGTGGTTACATAAATATTTATTGTTAATCATATTAGGTAGTTTGTTAAGTTCTCATCTCAAAGTGCTTTGCTTAAGAAAAAAATAGAATTGTAAATGACTTACTGAAAACTTAAGGATGAAAATGATTTCTTAGTATCTTATGTTTTGCAACTCTCTATATGAAAAGTTATTCTTTTCCTCTCTGACCAGGCAGCATTTTGCAGAAAAGTCCATATTAATGTCAGTGATATTCTTTATAATGGTTAATTTTCTAAAATAAAGATCAATATTAAGGCGAAAACTGGATTTCTGAAAAATAATCAGAAAGCAAAGAAAGTTTTGAATACTGAGCATTGACGTTAATAGAACTTTTGAAAGATACATTTTTTGATAAGTTTATTTTAAATGCACTGCAATTTGTTTCAATAAAAGCATTCTCTGCATTTTGTGACTAAAACACAGATAGCAATTCTCTTTGGAAAATGATCATGTAATAATTTAAACAGTGTAAGAATGGAACTATGTGGAACATGTGTTGCTCAGGTGGTGCAAATAGATACAGGTTTTAAATGAGCTTCATTCTTCTACATTTGGAATGTTTAGAACACAGATGATGCTTGCAAATGGCTAAATAAGTCTTGATAAAACCAGATTGACTTCAAGGAAAAGTGAGGAGTTGAGGCAGACTACTTGTTCATTAGTATAGTGTGTACAAGCAGATAAGCTATCCATTGTATACAACTCACTAGACAACTACATTTGTTTTTAGGTTCAATGGTAAATGGATGGGGCTCTGCATCTGATGAGGATCGTAACTTTTCTAGTCATAGATCTAGTGTAGGTAGCTCCTCAGATGGCTCCATCTTTGCCAGCGGCAGCTTTGCACAAGCACTGGTGGCAGCAGCAGATAAAGCTGGTTTTAGGCTGGATGGAACCAGCCTTACAAGAACAGGTTGGTAGACTCTGAGTCAACACTCTTTGCATGATAGAATCTTGGACACTGAGCTATTTTTCTCCTGTTCTTTCTCCTCAGTGAGTCAGACTGCAGGACTTTCTTTAATTTGCATGAACACAGTTTGGATGCTCAATTACCAGAAATCTCTTCTGATGCTACTTTTGCAGATCCAAGATTAGATTCCTACTCACACCTTCCATTCTTCTTTCGCCTCTTTGCAGCTCTGCTGATTAATTGTATTATGCTTCCTTTTATATTACAGCAAAGCAGCAACTGAAATTGCCATTAAATTTTCAATAATTCACACTTTGCAAAATTCTCACACAATCAATAATGTACCCAGTGATTAAAATTATTCAGCTTTTATCTCCATTACTTCTCTTTGCCCCATTTTTTTCTACAAATGCATTTTCTGGGAAGGCTTTCTCAGCATGGGGTGAATGGGTCTAAAGCTGTCAGTCTAAGAGTTCAAGTGGCTGATGGTCCTATTAATTGTTTGGCTGTTAAGATTTTAACTAAATAATTTATAATTTGTTTTAACGGATGCTAATTAAAGATAAAACCACTGCATTTGCAATTTGAATAAAATAATAACTACATGTGTATTGCTCTTTAAAGTAATCTAATTTTGTGAGAGTAATAATAAATATAAAAGTCAAATTATGTAATTTTTCATATATCTGTTTGCTTGCCCCAAAAAATGTAGGACTCAGGCTAATAATAGATCAGTTATTTATAAACATTATATTTACTAAAGTAATACAACTTTTACAACTTTTACATGGTGCATGTTGTTATATGACTGCATAGTTTTTCAGTGTTAAATAAGAGGGTACTAAGATCTTAATTAAATTTAACTATCTTACAAAATAAGCTGATGAAACTAAAAATATATTTTTAAAATCTTAATAACATTCAAACAGTAAAGAAAAATGATTTTGACCCTTCACTGTACTCTCAGGTTATAAAAATGAGTCTTGGAAAATTTCTTTAAATTATACCATCAATGGTATTATTTTTCTAATGAAATTTAAAAAAGATTTTCTAAGCATTGCAGAGGTTTATTTTTCATATAGCATCCTAACTAAAATGTTGTAATAGAGCAGTTATTTAAATTTTCTTGCTTTATAAGGTGTAATTCAGAAACTTTTATGTTGCCTGAGTGCTTTTTGTGGCATAACTATAAGCAGAGCAGAGAGAAAGTGCAAGGAGACTAATAAATTAGAAGGCATAAGTGCATTTCCTGCATGTATGCTAATAGCTAATAAAGCACTAAGCAATATCATGTCACATTGACTTAAGAAAATGTAACTACATACAATAATGTTTTAAGAAATGAAAACATACACAAAATAATAAATACATGTACATAAACCAACCCTCTTTTACCATAATAAACATGGTATTATAAACATTAATTCTTGAAAATTTATTAGCCAACATTTCTCAGAATGAATTTCCCTGCATATGTACATTAAGCCAAAAAAGGACATAGCACATTTCACTTCTATGAGAATTTGGAGTCTGCTCAGACATAAAAATATTCATCAGAAATCACCTTTTGCACTTTGGTGCAAGGTGATTTTAACCTGCCATCTACCTTATATGCTAATATTACTGAGTTTCAGCTAAAAGAGGCAGAATTCATCATTTACGTGTATGGGTGGTAAGGGCAACTTAATATATGTACCTGAGCAGACCTTTCATGTAAAATTTCAAATATTATTGCTGCAGGACATTTTGCTGTGCTCCAAGAGAATTTGTAAGATCCCAAAGGTAAAAAATGATTAAACAAATAAGACAGTATCTGATTCATTTCAGAAATAGCATCTTTAATTTTAAGAAGTAAAAACTGCATGAATTTGCATATATCTATGAAAATGTCACTACATTTGTCAAGGTTAAGTAAATATATAATCAAGTAATACAAAGTTTCCGGTTGGTGGATTTGTTTTATTTTCATTTACTTGAATTTTTTCAGTGGACAGTGTGTTGGTTATTAAAAGTGATACAAAATAAATGCAGCAGGGCATATTTTTTTCTACCAGTATAGGCTGTCTTCAGATGGCATTTCTAGACAGGTGGAGAGGTTAGTCTTAGTGAGAACAGAAATAGGGGACACAGAAAATCAGTGTGTTATAATAACTTCTTTACACCATTCCTTTTCTTTTTATTTTAGGCAAAGCTTTTACCTCGTCTCAAAGGCCACGACCAACCAGCCCATTTTCTACTGACAGTAATACCAGTGCAGCCATGAGTCAAAGTCAGAGGCCTAGGCCCACTAAAAAACACAAGAGCGGTCGAATGGACCAGCAACCAGCATTGCCTCATCGAAGGGAGGGCATGACAGATGGTAGGTTTGCTTCCTTCTCTCGTCTCCTCACTGAAAAGATTGTTCTGTGCAATCATTAACTTAGATTAAAGTAGCTATGGTAGATTAGCTGTTGCCTCATTATATAACTAGGCAGAAACCTGGCAATATGGTCTTGTTTAAATTAAACACCCTACTGTTATTTTAGTAATTTGGAATTATTTCTCTATTAGCATATCGACAAATAAATGCCAAAGCAACTTTCACTGGTTTTCTGCCATTCTGGCATTTTGCATTACTTTTCCATGAACAATCCCCTTTAAGGAAAAAAAAAAAAACTCGTAAGAGGTATGTGCACTCATAGGACTATTTCTGATATTAAGTTAAGATGTCTTAGATGGTATGTCACTTTTGAAAAAGACAGTGATTTGCATTTAGCCATTTTTTAGTTTCATGAATTTCAGGGTTAAAAGAATGCTACAGATCATCTATTGATGCATCAACTTTTCTGTAAAAGTTAAGATAATAAATATGTTGGGCTTTGGGAAAACTTAGCATCCCAGCCACAACTCCTGAACATTGCCATTGTTCACAAGTGCAGCTATAGAAAAAAGAAGCGAATAGTTGTGACTAATTGCCAACAAAGCTTTACTAATTGCCAACAAAGCCAAAAGAGGGAGCAGCAGAACTTGACCTATGGGTTATAATTTGCTAATCTACTTCTACTTTTATTATTTTACATGTAGCATCTAGTCTTTGACTTAAACACTGCTAGTTTCAGGAAACACGGTATTATTGGAGGATCTCCTTCTTAGATAATGTTTGTTTCTACAGAACAGGATCTTTTTCCTATCGCTCAATGTAACTCTCATATATTTACAAGTAGGATTAATATATTTTTCCTAAAATTTTATTCTACAGTGTATGTAAAATAATATATTTAAAGTACTTAGTATAATTTTGCCAGAGCCAAAAATTAATTTCTTCCTCCTCCACACTATTCCATACAACACACAAATCAAATTTTACTCTGAGATAGTTCAACTTAACACCAAAAGGATGTACCTCCTCAAGCTTCACATTAGACTCTCCCAGGAAGTACTTAACACGTTTCCTAGAGATTCTGATTTGATCGTTCTGGGGTGAAAATCAGTTATAGTTAGGTATTTTTAAAGCTCCATAGGTGAAGCTACTGTGCAGTCAGGTTTGAGAAGCTGTAACTGAGTCATGAGCACTCATGTCAGTCTCTTAGATTTAGAAGACAGAATGAGGCTTCTTTGCAAAAGAAGTAAGTAGTTGTTCTTTATTGGTTTGGAGGCGGGGAGGTATGGGTTTCTGTGTCTTTATACTTATGTCATTATATCATGCTTAGACTTTAAAGGCCAAACATAACTTGTTTTGAAAGCCTTCAAATTTACTTGTCCTTCCTTTATACTTTGTTTTCATTCAGAAGACTTTCTGTGGAATTAGAGGGTAAGGGTAACATCAAGTTTTTGATTCTCAATAAAAGAATAACCTGTGGTGAGCGAAATGTCACTGCCATTCTGCCTCAGATACTCTGTACATTACTTGAGCACTTAAAACAGTCTATAGTGTTGATCTTATTCCCACTAAATATGTTGTTATATATCTCAGTGATATGTTGTTATAATCTCAGAATTAATAATCTTGTATAATTGTCCTGCCCTGAATGTCATGGAAAGAGAAAAAAAAAAAATGCAGGTATATTTTTTCTGTGACTTTTCTGAAATCTTGAAGATCATAACCACAATATGTAGAAGATAAAAAATGTAAGTCACCAATAGAGATTTTTGTCTTTCTTCCTAGAACATTTTTGTAAGCTTTTTCAGAATGACTCATTAAAGCAAGTTCCTCCTAGCTTAAAGGATGATCAATATATAGCTTATCTTTCTATAAAACAAATAGGTTCCAAACTTTTCAAGTTTACCAACATTCTAAACAGGGTTTATGGATTATGTGTTATTAATAGATACACTTTGGAAGTAATGATGTTGCAAATCAAATTTAGCTCACATATCTTCCTCAGTGTTTGATTCAGAGACATTGTATTTATTTTTTTTAAAGATTTATTTATTTATGTATACAAGAGCTGAGGTACAGGCTAGGGGTGTGGGCAATGAGAGGATTCACCAGACACAGTAGGGAACAGAACAGGAAGATTGAAATACACTGCTGAGGGGAGCAGCGGACAAGTCAGGAGAGGTCTGCTGCACCATGTAGGTAGCTCCCTGACCAGCTAGGGCTCAAACTCGTGCTGCAGTGGCTGAGGATTGCTTTATAGGTTGTTTCTTAACCCCTTGAGCCACCAAGGAGGCCCCAAAGACATTTTAATTATGAGATAAGAATATTTATTTTAGATGGTGCTGTAAAGATTATCCTTAAAGAGATCATGTCACAGCAAATGTACATGCCATAGCATTTATATGGTATGAATCCATACATTGGTATTCATTTTATGACATTGTAAGTAAAATCAAAGTGTTTTGTGGGGAGGACATTGCTATTCAGTAGCTCCTCCCAGCGTATAAACAATTTACACCAAAACTTTGTCATTATAGATATTACAATAGTATTTTGTGAGTACATTAATCAGGATAATTATTGCTAGCTGTTAGGCCATATCCCTTCCATCCCTCCATGGCTTACCGCAGTGAGAGTTTGTTTCTCATAATCACAATGACTTATGCAGGTTAGGTGGCACTCCACTGAACAATAATGCAAGGATCTATCCTGTGACACTGGGGCATCGCTATATTCAAGATGGGGCCTTGATGATTTCTGAGTGAGGCCAACACAGAAGATGGGTGATAAGTTGGGAGTTTCTATGTGCAACTGAGACATATCACTTTTCTTACTTCTCTGTCACATGACATCAAATGTTGGAGTAAGAACTTATCTTTCTTTGTGCCCAATAACAGGAATTGAGAATTGTGGGAAATGTCAGTCTCTGTCACAAAGTGTATAAAAAACTACACACGAGTTAAGAAATATGGTTCTCCTTGGATGAAATCTCTCCTAAGCAAGCATTGTTCCATCAAAATCTTCTATCCCATTGAAGCAGATATTGACCAATGCTGAACAAAATGACCAATGCTGAACAAATAAGGCAGAGACAATAATTCTCTATCCTAAAAGTTTTCTCCTTAGGTCCCTCTTTCTAGATTCCCTTCCCTCATTCCTAATAAACTCAGAGAAGAGACTTTTTCCCAGCTCTGCCATGAGCTAACTTTGATCATGGAGCAAGTTTAATTCTTAATCTGTTACTTTAAATATTTATTAAACAGTTATTTAGTGATAAGCAATGGGAACCAAGCAAAGTTCCCTGCTCTCCCCTGGAGCTCATATTCTAGTAGGGAAAGAGCTTAAGACCAACATAAATGCATGAGTGAAAATATAAATATGCACAATGGTATGGCATGACATGAGCAAGAGACACAAGAAAAGAAGTCGAGAAGTATAAAGATCATGGGCCTTTATTTCTTTTTTTTTAAGATTTATTTATTTATGCATAAAGAGCTGTGGTACAGATTGGAGATGTGGGACGTGAGAGGATTCACCAGAGACAGAGTGGAACAGAGCAGGCAGACTGACTGAAATACACTGCTGAGGGGAGCAGCAGGCAAGGCAAGAGAGGTCTGCCTCACCATGTGGGCTGCTCCCTGGCTGGGGATCGAAGTCGTGCTGCAGAGGCTGTGGATAGCTTCATAGTGTGGTGTTTAACCCCTTGCGCCACCAGGGAAGCCCTCATGGCCTTTATTTCTAAAGTAAGAGTGCTCATGGAAGGCTTCACTAGAAAGTGACATTTGAGAAAAGACTAGAAGAAAGTAAGGGAAAGAGCAATGCTGATATCTGAGGATAAATCATTCTAGGAAATCAGAATAGCAAGTAGAATACTGAGGCTTAGTTGATGAAAATGAACTGTATGAATCAGAGAGAGCGACAGCATAGAATATGAAGTCAAACAAGTAAACAAGGTCATGTTTGTAGAACACTCAAGCTACTGTAATAAGGACATTGACACTTATTTTGCATGGGAAACCACTGGAAGTGAGTGTATGCTCACCTGGTGTGCACACACGTGTGTGTGCATGCTCACATGTGTGTGTACACATGTAAGGCTGTATAAGTAAGATATGCCCTTACTTTTGTTTTGCTGATAAGAAGTCATTGTATCTATTAAGATAGACTGAATATTTCTACATGGAAGGATAGAAACCACATAGGTGATCCCCACATAGGGAATAGATGCTAGTCATCACACTAATGTAAATCAGTGGACATGACATGAAAGGTTGACCACAATATGGAAATAGAACTCAGAGGATTTTTTAAGGAGATTAATATTGGCTGTAATACAGATAAATCAAAAATGTCTCCAGTTTTAAGCAACTTGTAGAATGGAATTGCTGTTAATTATGGTGAGAAACACTACAGAGAAAGCATATTTTATAGAAAAAGATCTAAAACTCAGATTTGATATGTAAAATTTGAGATGCTTTCTAAACAAGGAAGTTATATTATCCAGTGAGAATTTGCTTATGAGTCTGAATTCATGGGAGGGGAGATCTAGACTGAAGCTGTTTAATTTCCTTACTGCTTCTTTGACTCAATTGGGAAAAAAAAAAAGAGCGAATGATGGCATATATATATGTATATATACACACACACACAACATATATATATATATTTATATACACACACACATACACAAACACGCATATTTGTACTGTTGTGTGCCTGACAAAAGCAAATCCTCAGTAGGCCAGTATGAGACTCTTTAGTGAATTGATTTAGTTGAAATGACTCAACATAGAAATGGATAATAAATTTAATTTAAGTAAACATATTTGATTACATACTTTTATTTTTTCCACAGCCATTCTTAATTCCATCTTTCCTCCCATTTGTTTATTTCAATGCACATGCAATGTCTTTCTTCTTCAAATATATACACTCCAAAGATATTACTTAATGTGCAGCCATATGATTTCAAGTTAAATTAAAGAGTAATCAGAATTTTAGCTGGCATACGCCAATGCCATTTTACCCATTTAAAAAATTAAGATGCTCTGATGGAGAATAAAAATCCATGACAAGATATGTTATATTGCAAGTAAATATCATGATTTCCTCCCCAGTGTCAGTCCAAGTCCAATAACTCAAATGAAATAATTAATTTGCATTTATAATAATACATACTGAAGAAAGTCAGTATTGAATACAAAGGAAATACCAAGCTCATTGCTGGTTTTCTCAACAAACACATATTTCAATATTGGATTAGCTTTCATTTTGGAAGAAATATCCCAAATGAAACTTTATTCTCCCAGACAGAAACCTCAATCCTTTCAATAATTAGTAATTCATAATATAACAAGAGGACATAGATAAGAATTGGGAATGCTATTCCAAGCAGGGACTCCCAGGGGACATGCTGAAGAGGCTATCATTATTAATTCAACAGAGGACAATATCATCTTGCTCAGAAAAGAAAGAAATTATGAAGCTTGTTAAGAAAGTCTTTAGAAGAAACAGCTTAGCTTTTTTTAAGGAAGCTATATTTGGGACAAGAAATACACACTTTCCCTTTTAAATTTCACAGACAATGTTATTGGAAATGAGCTCATTTATAAAATATGGCATAGAAAGAAGTTACCTATATTATATATAATGTCCTCTATTACTGAAATAAATGTTCTCTATTAATGAAATAAATAAACCCTATATTACATGTATTATTAGGTCATTCAAACAAATAATTACTGATACTCCAAGGATGAACAAAAACATCTGCAATAGTATATGTGAGAATAATTAAAAGAAAATAATGCAAAAGAAAGTCAATTTTGAAATCTTCAACAAAGTAATTTCATTATGATCATAATTGTATAAATCATATAATAGAAATACAATAATACTTAAGGAAATACAAAAAAAAAGGGACTATAATTTCATAATTAAAGACTTTTTAAAAAGATCATGATCTGAAAAACAAATAAATGGAAATGAAAACTTTGCTGAGTATTTCAACTTTTAATTTTTTCACATGTAATATTAAAGAACTTTTCTGAAAAAATAATCTATCCCACTGCTTCTCATGTTTTCACAATGCATTGTCTACTCCCGACCAGGAAGCATATTCTATCTGTTCTCTGAACACTGATTATTAGTTATTAAAATTAATACATTGCAAGATTATAATATATTAGTTGTAACTCATTAGCTAACTCATGAAACGAAAAACCAGAATTGGTTGTCAGGCAGAATGTTAATTGCATTTAATAAATGTTAGCTTAACCCTTTGACTATTGCTAAATGTGCCACATACATGGGTAAAGGAAGTCATATGTTGCATATGATACGGCATATAGTTCTTAATTTCCCGAGGGCAACGTTTCCTGTCGAGATTGGCAGGAGAGCTCTTATTCTTCACGGGGCCTTTTATTAACACAGCTGCTAGCATTTCTAGCCATTTTGTGCCATGGTTTTTCTACTTTGGGGATGTGGGGGTGGACAGTTGATTAAATGTGAAGAAACCGTACATTGCCCTTTAAACCCTGAACACTAATCTCAACGTGCAATTGGAACACTTCCACATATAACAGTTGAATAAACTGATTGACTTTAATTTTAAGACATTGTAACCAAAAGATAGCAAATAAATCAATAATATGCATTTTGGAGATAGCTGACCTCCCCCTCCCCCTCAAAATTTATTTTTTGCATGGGTGATAGCTTTAGGAGGGCAAGGGTTTTTTTTTTTCATCTTGAACTAAAACCTGTACTTTTCATTAAATTGTAGTCCATTCTAAATATTATTCAAAATTTTTAGATCTTCCACCACCACCAGACCCCCCTCCAGGTCAGGGTTTAAGGCAGCAAATAGGCCCAAGCCACAATGCTGATAACGCGGAAAACTCAACAGAGAGAAAAGGAAGCTCTCTGGAGAGACAACAAGCATCCAACTTAGAAGACACAAAGAGCTCATTGGATTGTCCAGCTAGAACATCCCTAGAGTGGCAGCGACAAACCCAAGAATGGATAAACTCCACAGAACGCCAAGAAGATAGACGGAAAGCCCTCCACAAACAAGGTGTCGGACCAGGTGTGTTCTGCACTGTTCCAAGAAAGGGTGGAATTTTACCGTATTTTTTCCCTCGGGGGTATTTTAGAAATGGCAGTTGTTTGAGGGCATCTGAAACACTTGCCTTGAGTCACTAGTTGAAGCTGGAACTCCTCAACACAGCTCGCCAGCAGGTCCCTTAAGACTGATTCCAGTGAATAGACTCTTTGAGCCCAACAGACCTTGGAACTTCATCTGTAGTGAACAGGAGACAGCTTGATTATTTGCCTTTTAGAGTTTATATTGAGTATGTTTAACACCAGTAAATTTCATCTTTATTGTCCGTTTAACCTCTTCCTTCAACCAGCCTTCCTTTTTGACTGAAGTGACAAGTTATTTTGCATGGAGAACTCACTTCAGTCCAAACAGGTGAATTAATTGAAATAAAGTTGCAAATCAATGCCCAGCCACAGAAGCCTCATGTTAGAAAAGATTTAACTGGGCTTGCACTTTCTCCAAATGATTACATTTAGTTGACTGTTAACACTTCAATGGGAAATGTTCTTGTTTATAAATCAAACTTCCTGGAAATGTTACAAAATAAATTTCATGGTTTGTGGTTGGATTTTTTTTTTTTGGGGGGGGGCGGGTGATAGGGGGCACTAACCCTATTATACAAATACATTTTTGGTACATCTCTTCATGTCAGGATTCATTGAAAACACATATTCACACACACACACACACACACACACACACACACACACACACACACTCTGTTTGAAAGGTTCCTTACCCAGTCGTATATTCATTTAGACTCAATCTTTTCTAGTCCTCTACTCTTATATTTTCAATAATTATATTTTGTCACAATGTGCTTCCCAAGGCTTTCAGAAACATAATTATGCAATGGTCCAAAGGTGACAATTTAGTTTTAACAAAACAGGAAGTTTACTTGATTCAAACTGAGAAAAATCATATGATCCCTGTCATCACAGATTACCTGAGAGGGAAATGTTATATTCAGTCAGTATTTGTTTTAATCATCTGATCTCAGTAACAATACCCCACACTGAGAAACTAAAGAAAAAACAAAAGTGGACAAAAAGAAAGAAGGAGAGAGACAGGGAGAAAGAGACAGAAACAGAGAGAGAGATGAAGGAGATAAAGAGGGAAAGGTACTGAGGAAGGAAGAAAAAAATATTTCAGAGTGTGAAGTATTAGCAATGTACATCATGAGTTATATGTATCGATGTGGCACATAAGAAGATGCTGACATAATTTGTTAAAATAAACAACTTTCTCTTTAAAGAAAGGAAATGCTTAGCCTTTCAAATAATGTATTTTTTCCTGAGAAATAACAGAAATTTAAGAAATTTATTAACTAATAGTTCTTTACCAAAATTGATTCAGAAAATGTTGCCATAATTTAAACTAAAATAGCAACCATGTTTCTTCAATCTTGATGAAAAAATTAAATTGGAGCCTCATTGAAATCCAGAAATTATTCTCAGAAATACTCTTGCTAAACAATATGGTTCATTATATGCAGCTCTTTCATAATGAATTTAATTTTTTCAAATGATATACAACTTTGTGTACTTATCCCCAGATCTTTTAATTCAGTCCTGCTTCGGTTCTTATTGTAGGAAATGTTGCTTGCACATGGAATTTTTTTTAATATATGGGCCTTATTAAACTTCATATTTTTAATTTTACTGAAGAGTGAAATGGTAAATTAGCCCATCTTGAGCTTTGTATTTTAGGTTAGGTTGGTTTTGCCTCCATGTCACTTTTCTACTTAGCCCTTTGTGTTTCTTTCTTCAGAGGAGACCTTGGTGCCCTATAGCAAGCCCAGTTTCCCTTCCCCAGGCGGTCACAGCTCATCAGGAACAGCTTCTTCAAAAGGATCCACTGGACCTAGGAAAGCAGAGGCATTGAGGGGCAACCACCAGCGCAATGCCAGCGACCTTCTTGACATAGGATACATGGGCTCCAATAGTCAAGGACAGTTTACAGGTGAATTATGTAAGTGCTTCAGGAAAGACGCTATGGCGATTCAAAAAGAGCATGGTGTTAATGTCAGGGAAGAGTAAGTCATCCTCAACCCTTTTAGGATTCCTGACTAGGCCTGAAAAATAAGCTGAAAATGATAAATTAATGGGGAACACAAGCATACATATTATTGAATTTTTTGCATATACATGGAAACATTTGCAGGAGAATAAAGACCCAAAGAAATGATCAGATCAAGGGAAACTCTTCCACCTTTAGACAAAACCAGTAAATTTGTGGCGATTTGATAAGAAGGAGGATTTGGGCTAAGAGTAGTAAATAATGACGACACAACAAGGGCAATAATAGTTTAAAAGGTTTACTTGTAGTTTAACAGATTCAATAGGTTTATTTGTATAGATTTCTTGGTTCCAAACTCCATCTCTGGTGATCAGGATTCTTTCTTCCGGTACAGGAAGGGGATCACTGATGTGGCAGTTTTATAATCTGTTCAGGGAAAGATGGCACCATTTTCTCAAACTTATTCAGCTTACCATATTCAGTATGCTGAGGTGCCATATTTGGGGTAGCATGTTCTTAACCCAATTGTAACAATAAACGAATTACAGAGTGGTAGAAGATTTGCTTTGTTACATGAAAAAAATCGATTCTGATTTTCAGCAAGTTTGATGTTAACAGACCAAGGCTATTTACAGGAGTCAATTAGATAAACATTTCTTCCATTTCAAGTATAATTTCTACTACACAAAAACTATATAAATGTAGGCAGTTAATCTTGATAATTATAGGTTAATTAAATGTAGCCTACTTTGTATTTTTTTTTCTTTTTGCCTTATTCACTGAATCCAATAAAGAAAGGGAAGCCTATTGGTCCTTTGGTAGTTTTAAACAGCCTCTTCAAGAAGTTCTCACCCCCTGTTGCTTTCCATTTATGTGTTTTTCAAATTAGGGAGTCAAACTTGCTAAGTTGATCTTTGATTTTATTTAACACATAAAGAATTTTCTCTTTTTAAATAGAGAAATGGCATTGGTAACTAGTAAAACATCTGTTTTCAAGGTATGAAATAATAGATAACAGACAAAGACTGCCATGTTGTGTCACAGTGGAAAACATTAAAATTCTTGTATTAATTTCATGAGGAAAGTTATCAATTTCTGTATCCAACTTCAAAATTACATTTTTTGACTATTTCAGTTGCTTCTCAGAATTCAGTTTAAAAAACTACTGAGAGGGCCTCCCCGGTGGCGCAGCGGTTTAGCGCTGGGTGGCGAAGCTGCCCACCACCTCTGCAGCGCCAGTTTGATGCCCAGCGGCTCCCCGGCCACGGAGGAGGGTCCCACATGGCTCGCAGACCTCTCCTGCCACCCGCTGCTCCCCTCAGCAGTGTACTTCAGCCCTTCTGCCTGCTCTGCTCCCCACTCTGGCTCTGGTGAATTCTCTCACTCTCCCGCGCTTCTGACTGTACCCAGTGCTTGTATAAATAAACAAACAAACAAACAAACAAACAAATAAATAAATAAATAAACGAATAAATAAATAAAATCTTTAAAAAAGAAAAAAACTACTGAGAGACCAGGCCTGGTTTCTAATCTTCTCGGCCATTTACTGGTTACTTAAGAAGAGAAAGTTATCTACTTCCCTAGTCTCTGTAATCTTATTTTTTTGTTGTTTTTTTTTTTAAGATTTATTTATTTATTTGTACAAGCACTGGGTACAGTCAGAAGCGCGGGTGGGTGAAAGAAATGGGGAGCAGAGCAGGCAGAAGGACCGAAGTACACTGCTGAGGGGAGCAGCAGGCAGCAGGAGAGGTCTGCGCGCCATGTGGGACCCTCCTCTGGTGGCCGGGGAGCAGCCGGGGATGGAGCCGGTGCTACAGAGGCTTTGGGCAGCTTCGCAACCCGGCACTCAACCGCTGTGCCACCGGAGAGGCCCAGTCTCTGTAATCTTAATAGCATCACTATTATGCTCATATCATAGGTTGGGGGGAATGCCATGAGATAATGAAAAGTAAAAGTACTTTCAAAACTGTTAACATCCTTAATTGATAGGCATCATTGTTGTCTATAAACAATCTGATTACTATTAAGATGTATCTGTAATATTTATTCTGATTCATGACTACTGGATTTTTTTAACTATTACTTGATTCATAAGAAGCATAACAATTGCTCTGCTTGGATTATAAATCTCCAAATTCTACAATGCTTCTTTTTCTCCTGTCATCTCCTGCAAGTAAAATATCTTCAGTTCCCAAACTCACAAAAGCTGATGACATTATGTTTATGATCCGTTTGCTTTGCTTTTTGTTATTCTGATGAGGATAAAAATATTACTTAAGGGAAGACTATTTCTAATTTTTTTTTTTGTAATCTTTTTGTAGAGTAACTGAGAGGAGACATGCAAAGCTGCTCTGAAGGACCAGCAGGTCTGAACTCATGGAAGTGATGACACTAAACAGTGCAATGAACAATTTCTTTATTTATGTACTATTACAAGAACTGTAAATGCAATGTAAAGACACACAGCCACACATATCCCACAGATATTTTACTTGTGTTCTTCTCTTAAGTACACCACCCACCTTAACTCTTTCTTGTCAGGAGTATATAAAAAAAGAAAGAAAACAAAGCTCACCCTCCAGGAAGAAAAGGATTTTCCTCTGTATATAATTTCTTTTGTGCATTGCTATGCAAGCTCACTCTTTTTAGCTCTGTTCATATTATTGTCTGTTCTTATTGGTCTGTTGTACTATATGTGTATTAATAGGCTGTGGTGCCATATATTAACTTTTAATTGTGTAACTTTTATGTTTAAATTTTGCACTGCAATTTTATTTGGTGATAAGCACAAATCTCTACTCCTCGTGACATGAAGAAAAAGACTGAATGTGAAGGGAGTTTCTGTACTGTAAGTTAGTTTGGATAATGCTGGTTGTAACCAGTCATGTTAGATGGTTTTCAGTTGGGGTGTAGAAATAGGAAGAGGCAAAGGAACAGTGGTGTTGAAGAAGCCTTCTTTGAACATCAAAGACTGAGTCAACAAAAAGAAGGGAGAGAAAGGTGGCTTTTACTATTGACAAAAGCAAGGGTCAAAAGAAGAAAGTTTAAGTCTAAGACTGAATAAGCATTAAAATTTACAGGTAGCAAAGATGTACTAAACTTGCTAAAAAATTAAAGAGAAATTAAAGCTATATTGATTCAACCTTACCTGTCATTGTAATTGACCCATCTGAGAATTACAAGCTAAAAGAAATTGAAATCAAGGTGTTTCACAAGAGCTGTATTTATATTACAGATTTTTAAAAAGCATTTTCTGAATTTCCATAATTAATCTCTCCAACTCATTAAGTCAGAATATAATATGAAGTTCCCCAAGGAAACAAACAAAATGAACTCTAGAATATCTAGCAAATAGTAAAGAGGCAATTTATTATTAGGACATACTCGGGCTGCTTCCAAATATAAGAATTCTATTACAATATCTTGTTTCATCTTTCTAATACATGTACAGTACACACTAGAGGATAGAGCTGCACCACTTCAGTTCATGACTCTTAAAAAATAATGCTATCTAGATGCAATTTTGTGTTTTATTTGATTAAGAAGTGACGTTTATGCCACCAAATATATAGCCAAATTGTAAGTGCTTAAAAAAAAAGCAGTGCTCAGAGTATGTTCATTTCACAGTAAGTAGATTTATTGGATTAAATATTTTATGGTACATTCTCAGAAATTGGCTACCAACTAAAATATGTTTGACCCATTTTGAATGAGTAAATTGAAAAGAAAAATTTAAAGGAGAAAAATGCATGTTTATACACTTTTTAAATAAAACCAAACCTCGTAAGTGGACATTAATAGCAGTGTCCTGCCTCATTTGTTTTCACGACTTTGAGAACAAGAAACTCCTGACTATCAGTTATATATGGTCAATATGAATACAACTTTGAAATATGTTAGCTACTGTATATGTATAGTCAATCAATCAAGTAGAAGAGAACCTTCCTGAAATTCCCACTTGTGACATTTTCCCATGTGCTGCCTACACAATTGTAAATTAGATTTCCCCTATACTTTCTCATATTTTCCCTAGGATATGTTCAGTAATTGGTTCTTGGACTAATATTTGATGTAATAATTAGGATTGATTCTAAAATATGTGACCCATTGGAATGACAATTCATATTCTGTGCATTATGAGCTCAGCCACTAATTGTAAGTGATACATGATAGCAAAGGGATGACATAACGAAAAGTTTCCATCTTTTTTTATTCTCTGAGGATGCATCTACCCAGGCCAGTGCATAGGAGCAAATTGAGAACACCGAAGAGTACAGGCCCCTCTTCTTGCTGCCATGTAGTTTATTTCTTCATTGAAGAGAAAAACAATCCTGAGACACACACACTAAACCCCTTGTCAACTTTCTACCATCAGTGCCTAAATATTGATGCAGCTTGATTTCATCTGGGTCAGAGAGACTGGGGAAGATGAGAAGTTTGTGGAAAGAATGAATTCAACTTATTCACAACTGTTAGATGTGAGGAATTTAAGCTTTTTGCTTCTGTAGTTCTTTGCTTCACTTCTTTCTATTTAAAAGCAAACAAAGTTTTGTTTACTTATGTTCCTTCTCTATGCTCCTCCATAGCTCAATTAGTCTAAAACCTTAGTTCACTACACATATTACACATAGCCTTTGACACTTGGTAACTGACAGGTATATGTGATGAATAAACCAAGACTTGTGAATTAATGTGGGGAATTGCATCATACCTTCCTGATTGTCTTCCATGCATAAAAAATAGCTGCTATGGTTTCATTACGTCACTGCTGCAGTTCTGATGGTTACTTATGGAATGTTCTTCTGGAATAGTCCACATTCCCTATTAAGTCTAGTTAATCAGTCAGATCACCCCGAAATCAACCTCATATAGATATAGAGCAAGATAAAATGCCATGACTATCCCAGTGAATTCAGACACACTGTTAAAAAATCAAAAACATTTGTCAACTTCCTATATGTGAAAGCTTCTAATCAGTCTAAATCGGAATGTCATTAGAAGAATGAAAACATGTATGAGAGCTGTGATGATTTTTTTTGTTCTGTGGCCTATTAAAGGCATCTGATTAGAATTTCAGTACGCTCACTCTTTTGCAGGTCTAAACAGAAGTCTGCATAAGCTGTCACAAGGAAATCTGAGTGGGAGAGAATGTAATCTTATCTTGCACTCACAGGGAATATGGCTGTGCAGTCATGCCCAACATAAGCACAGCTTTGTGCATAACATGTGAAGTCTCCACTGGGGAAATAGTTGAATCTGCCCCAACTCAGGTATATCTCAGTAGATGCAGGTAGAGTCACCCTACCCCTTTTCCAAATATTTTCCATGCCATATTTAAAGTAAAATGCGAAAGTACAGGGACATGAAAACAATTGATTGTGTCACAGGATTTGAATCCAGTTCAAGGGAGAATAGAGAAAGTGGAGAACAACATCTATGGTATCATACAACCAAAGGGAGGTAGAAACACCGCCAATTTACTTGCTTTAGATGGTTTAAATGGTGTTCTTTGTCATAGTCTAAGGCTATAGGTATTGAAATCTATTTTCAATGGAATTCAACTTGAAAGTTTGTATGAGCTTTGATAGAACACCTCCAAATTTCTATTCAATAAATTTATGTAATTGTTCATTGACTATATAATTATAAAAATACCAATGAACTTTAAACTGGTTTTTCTTCACCACTGGAAAGTGATTGTGTCAGTATTAAAGATATGCAGATCCATGACATTCATTAACTTGTTCATTTGCTTCTGTATATTGTATTTATAGAATTTCATGACAAGATTTGTGTAAAGCAACATGTCCTTCCACATTATCTTAGAGGTGAAGTTACTTTCATTTTGCTTCTCTATAATGTGTACTTCAAATGAAACACCATATTTTTTAAAAATGACGTTCAATTTACTAATTTTTCTTATCTCATAATTTTCAAAAACATTTATTGTGACTTTAAAGTGTTGCAAGATAAGGGACTTTGTGGCCGTGAGTAGACTTTTTATACTTTGTTTTATAGATGGATTTTTTTAACAGTAGTTTAAGTCACCAAACAGCGTCCAAAAATCTTAATGTGTTTCATTTAATGTTGTTAGATCAGAAAAGAAATTGGCATACAATTGGTTAATAGTATTGTCAAAGAATTGTGTATTGTGTACTCACTGGGAAAAAATAAAATATATTCACATTTCAAATTTGTAAAAAAGCCATTTATGTAAAACAAACTTGCTTGCGGACAAACCAAAAATAGACCATTTTGCCACTTATAGAAGTCTGCACTGATATTTTATGACATAAACTCACTCTTTCATTCAGCAATGAGGAGGGCAGTGATCATAGTAATTGGTGTTGACTTAGAGACTAAATGACACTGATAAAGAATGTAAAAAGAATTTGAAATACAAGATTCCACTCTGTGGGCACTACTTTCTAGCTCTGACCTTACTTCTCCCATACAGGCCCTCAGATGGAGAGAATATAAATTTCTTCTCTACAAAATTACTTAATTATTTTTATAACATAAGTAAGGAAGCAAATTGAAAGAAAGTAAATGCTTTTAATTGCTTCAAAATTGCTAACGATAATTTTTAAGTAAATGGATGTTGAAAGTCATTTCACAGACTGGGTAGAAAAGAAATATTTCCTTTTTAATTGTACTTCATAAGTATTTCATTTTTTTCACTGTCAAGTACATTTATAGCATCAAATTCTCTCTAAAAAAGGAAAAATACTATTTTATATGTTCTTTAAAATAACAATCATAGTGACTATAAAAATGGCAAAAAAGAAAATTAACAGAAATGTTGTTTTAAAACTTTTAGAAAATAACTGATAAGAGGAAAATGCATTTCAGAGTTTCATTTTATTTTCAGTAAAAATATGAAAATAAATAGCATTAAATAATTATAAATAATGATACATTAATATAATACAATGACAATTCATAATATATGTGATTAAAGACAAAATATACAGGTGACCAATAAATAGTCAAGAAATTGCAAAAAATTCATTGCTTTATGGAATTTGTGTTTATGTTAACACCTTCAAATGACAAAAAAATGCAAAAAATTTATTAAAACAATACACCACACTCTCTTGATTATTGTGCATTAGCTAGAGAAGACATGTACCAATGTTGTAAGAAACACTTTAAGCTACAAATAATATTTAATGCTTTCCTTTAGTGAAAAAGTACTTGTCTCTTTCAAAAAAAAATTAGCAAATTTCATGCTAAATTTCACTTCCAAACAGAGATGTGCAATCAAAATGCAACCCCAGAAAACCAGCTTGCATGATTTCACGAGAAAAGGCAAAGAGAAAAGATGAGTCGGGAGGGAATGACAGCACACTGACTCAAAATGGTTGCAAGGATGCTTTCACCTCTCTGAATTTAGTGCAGTTTGCTTTTGACCTTCAGCCTCAGAAGGAATTTTCTTCAGGCCCAGAGAAGGAATCTGGTACACTAGAGGGCTGCAAAGCTGTCAAGAATTCCAGAAGCAAATGCAAGAAAATTGTGTGGCTGTATGTTTATTTTATTTAAAAAAAAAAAAAAACAAAGACCAAGGTGACCTGCCTTTGCATCTTCTAGTCAACACATTTTCTCCTTGCAGCAGTCAAGGCAGAAGAAAAACATTTTTTACATATATATTAAAATATCTTAGTAATTAATCGAGGAAGGGTGCTTTTGTTTTGTGATTCAAATCCAATGACCAAGACTCAGGTCTCTGCCCTTTCAAGCCACTGTAACGGTCCTCAGAGCAGGCACAATAGCACCCTGTACCTATAAAATGTCCTGACAGATGTAGCTTCTTGGTATTAGCAATTTTTTGAACATTTGGACAATGTTTTTCTAGACATTATGAATAATTTGTTTCCAGCAAACCAGTTATTGATTTTTGTATATTCTTTCATTTTGCAAGCTAGTGTTAAAAAACTGTATGAAAACTAAATATATATATATTATATATAAAACTAAATATATATATATATTATATATATATTATATATAACACGAGTGGTTAAACCAGAAATAGCTTTTGCTTCATAAATGTATTCGTATCCTTAGTTAAGGCTGGGTCTGATCTCTAGAAAGACCTTTTTTTAAGTTTTTGGGCTAAGGGGTAAAAGGTGGTTAAGCAAAGCTTTCAAAAACCTTTATAAGCTGTAGAATCTGCATTAGTTTCATTCACATCTCTCCTTCCTAGTTTACATTATCTGTGTTCTCGTCTATCTCTAATTAACCTATGAATTTAATACGTAGTTTAAAAGTGAAGAATATAAAATTGTGGAAGCTTTGTTGTTGAATATATAAAGAGGTTTCTCTACAACTTAACTCTATTTTAAATCTTTTCAAGTCTTAGGTGACATTAGACCCTTTCTCCAAGAATACATGGTGAGACTAGCACTATGTGAAACCCATTTGGAGAAAAACTCTCCTAGAAACTCTCATACCTCACTCTGGTCCAAGGCTGTACATTAAGGTCCCAAAGGCTTTGCATGCCTTTTTTTTTTTAAGTCAAGAAGTATGAGAAAAACATGAATACCATCTATTCTTAAGAGATGATAGAGAAAAAATGGTCATCATTGAAATTCTTAACTTATTTCAGAGCATACTTGAGCAACAGATAAGATAGAATTCTGTTTTTCAGCTTTTCTGCAATTATTTTGGACACTATTGCATCTCTAAATTGAGTGACTACAATTAAAGCATGAATATACATTTGTTATTTCCTTTAACTGCAAATCCCCACTCTCACAAAATTATTGTTTATCCATGTTTTAATGCTATTGTCTGAT